CGTTAACATTTATCCTTTGTATTCAAAGACTGTTATCTTACTAGCGAGTGTAATAATCAAGAAGAGTCACTGTTTTCGCTCCGGCATCAATGATCATTCCTTTTGTTCGAACATCCATTTATACTTTATCGACGAGCATTTCACAAGAATTCTAATGAAGATGAAGGATACGAAAAGTCTTGAAATACCTGTCCTGAACATTGACAGAATAAATAATGGATGGGTTGATCCTTGATGGCATATATGATGATTAAATAAATAATTATAAGATGTGCCAGGCGTCGGTGCTAGGTAGTTTTATATACCATTAATACCCACTTTCCCACGCATCTTGCAATCTCACGCTATCGGAATCTATATATGGATATCCGTCAACAAAATTTCCATAGTTATTTTCCACATTTTTTCGTTTTTATGTCGTCTACTTCTTTGTTTTTTTGCTGATAAAAAAATTTTATTTGAATATTTTCACCTGATGAGACAGAGATCTGAAAGACTAATGATAAATATTTGGAATCAAGATATTTCTCTTTTATCTCATCAAAACGAATAAAACATTCCTTGTTGTTTCAGGGATTTCATTCATGGTTTCCTTTACATCAGAGAATAGTTCTTCATTAAGAAAAAAAAATGTTCAAATCAAGGATAAAAATTAGAAAATTTCAATAACTATGTTTAATCTTCACTAATATGTCAGTTTAAAATAGAAAACTTTAAAAATTTCTGTAGATCAGGAAGAATATTTTCATGAGGCTTTGAACAAAAACAAAGGTTCTTTTGTTCAATCTGTGATGGTGAACAAAACATCCTTAGAGTCTGTACAACTTTGAAAGAACCTCGGTAACGGAGATGACGCAAATCTTCTCTGGATGGTTTAGGGGTAAAATGGAAATGCTCAAGCAGCGGGAGCCATAGGGAACCCCGCCGTGTTGTTGAAGTATCGACTACGAGAATGGATAATAAACCTCGACGGGCCGTCGCATTCACTCAAGCTGCTTGTCGTTTAGCTATACATTATCTATGATAAAAAGAAGTGCATACAAATATCTGCATTCTCTTCACATTTTTGACACAATTTTATTCTTTATTACATCCATGTAGCTGTTAAAATAAATTTTTTATTTCATCTTCTAATCTAAACATTTTTTATATCACGACGACAAGAAAACGCTTAGATATTTTTTCACAATAAACAAATGAATAATGACTGATAAATAAAATGAAGAAACATCTTATGGACTTTATGAGGAGTGAAATGAAGAGAAAAAATGTAGAGAAAATAAAAAATAGAAAAAGAAGATAAAGATGTGTGAGGGGCGCTGCTCAACGTAGAGCAGTTTATTTCGGTCGGGTTAATTAGTGTTGCCTCGCGAGGTTTACGGTTGACATTTCGTTGGTCGTTGGCTCGTCGTGTGTTTCTACCAGAGAGGGCATCGGATCGAAATGGAAAGAAGGGTGAAGAGTAGGGGAAAACAAGCGAGAGCGTACATAAGATGAAGAGAGACAAATGTTTAAGGCAGAGGAGGGTGCTGAGCCGGCTTTTTTACGGCGACATACTGGTTGGCCATACCAAATCCAACTTTGCTTGTCGAGGATGAAACTGCGATGAGGGGAAAGGTGGTAAAGAGCCAGGGGGAGGAGAATCAAGGTGTGCGCGGTAATAAAATTCACCTCGAAACAATCAGGCCCCACTTATTGTCGTAAAAACATTGCCAGGTATTGATAGGATTTTGTCTAATGCGGTGGTATTCAGTTCATCGTTATTTTTATAATAAACTACGATCTCAGATTATTCAGTGAAAATTTGTTGATTAAAAAGAAAATTTATTTCTGTCAAATAAAAAATTAACACAAGATAGTGAATCCAAGTATGGGACTCAACTATTAATTTTTTAGAGTGTAAGAAATTTAAATTGCATCAAAAATCTTCCTTTAAAATATATCTAATACATTGTATCAGAAAATACAAACAGAAATTTGAAATAGAACTTTTTGCTTATTACAATTAGAGATCAATTAAAGATTACGTTCCAAACTACGCGTAGAGCTAATTAACAAAACAATGAAAACTTCACATACGACTTTTTGGAATGACCGCGACGATATGTTCGTGTTGAAGGAAAAAAAAATATTCTTTCGACACCTAAAAGAGATTATGCTGAACAAATGATTTACACAATCTACTGAAAATATGAGCAATATGTTGGATCATTTGAAAGTTATATTTTGGAGCCTAAAAATTGAAAGAAATTTATGAGCTCAGATACATCTTTGATACTTGACAATTTATTACACAATCTTTGAATATCGAGAAACAAATGATTTAATTTGAAAAATTGATTAAAAATTTTTAAAGTGAATGTACTAAGAAAAAAATGACTTAATAAAATCAAATAATTTTCACAGATTAATCTAAAAAAGATTAACACATAATAAAAAATGTAATTCACTTCTATTCATTGTATTTTCCAGAGTGATGATGATAATAAGTGTTTATAGCTGCTTTTCATTAAAGAATCGTTTTGAGCTCAGATTCCGTAGCTCCGGCAGTCATGCCAAGTTTGTGTAAACAGTCGGTATTTTTTTTTCCAGTGGCAGGCGCTAAAAGATAGTTTAAAAAGCCAAATTGATGGTAAATTTAGGTAATTTTTCGAAGCAACCATGAACACGAATACGCGAGTACGCGCACATGGTGGTGTTTATCCATGTTTTGGAGTGGCTTTCCGGCATGCGTGTAGTTCATGATCCCTACAATTATTCCCTTAATGTGCAGTCGTCGTGAGGTAACGAGACCGAAACGCTTCGGTTATTCACTTGGCTATTAATCATAGAGTACACAGCATATATGGAAGGATAGCCACGGCATTTTGTCGCTGCAATAACGACAGTCACGCTCTCCTATATTGCATGTATAATTATTGATGTGCATATGCACAATGACTGTGGGTGGAAGCAGCTTATCCGTGCAGGATACTAATATTGATACAGAGACAACGCACAGTAAACTATATACATATACGTAACGTCAAGTGATTGTAATCAACACGTTTCGAAATCGATATTCAACTGAACGTTGTCACTAATATTTGTTCAACACGATATGCTAGAGTGTTACATTTATGAAACTTTGTATGCATACAGTTATAGAAATAACTATTTTAATAGATCTCCATTACGTTTTTCAGTTTTTTTCCTAAGTCGATGAATGACAGAGATTTATGAGCCAATAATATACCTGAATATACAGATAATAAATTGTTGGTGACTTTAAAATTGAAACACTGGAAAAAAACTTTTATTATTATGTGAGATTGGATATGTTGAGAGTCTCGAACGCAATTTGCGCAAACAGACATTGTTGTGTTGCCACTCAACAATGAAAACTTTAAAAACCATGTGATCAGCAGGTCACTAGGTTTATGAGCATCTAATGTAGTAAATCATTGTTAGTTGTTTGAAAACCTTCAAAGTTGAAATCTGCAGAAATCTTTTTACGCTCAGGTATAGAGTAGATATTATCCGAGAAGAGGCTTCTCTTATCTACCCAGAACGATCCGGCCTGTTGCATGCTGATACTTTTTTGACCTGTCCACTAATCCTATTAACCTCGGGTATGCGGATTTTTAGTTACGTTGTCAAGTGCATAGTCGATTTTCACTTTCTCCAAATATGTTGGTTATTTATTGCGTCATTTTCCTTTTTTCCAAGACATGACTTAGTTTCACATTAGGCAATATTTGAGATTTTTCAAATTTTTTTTATTTTATTTTCCGTTCCGATGAGTGAAAAAAATTATTTTCTCAAGAAAAAGAATATTTTTTTTTTTATTACAAATTTAAAAATTCAAATTTAGAGATTTTGTTCCTTTATTTCAGATAAATTCAGAGTACCATCCAAGCGAAGACTAATAAATTTTTTGAGTCACGCTGACATGACATATTTATCTTTGAAAATTATAATTAAGTAAATTATCGCAATATATTCCTTGAATAATAAACATGAGAGAATGATTATTTTAGTGAAATATTTTAGTGGAGACATTGAAGACAGAAAAAAAGTTGATAATTTCCTAAGAATGTGCCCCTTTTACTTGGCGTTTAAGCAGTCTTTATTGCATAATAAATGCTAAAATATCAAAGCTCTTTCCTGGCGTGTAAATGTCTATAATTATATATCCCTATAGTGCGGCCATGTGAATACATAAACATAATCAGTGATTCCTATATAGTTAAAAGATAATAGGCATAGCAAACTGATTATTTATTTAAAATATACTTGTAAAACATATGTTTCCATTACTTACAATTCTTGACAAGCTTATGATTAACTGATAATTAATGGCATAGAAATAATCTCTGACAGAAGATATATATTAAGGTAATGTGAGTAAACATAATTAATTAAAAACTGGCTGGTATCGTTGGTGGTTTGAAGAAGGAAAGTGTTGGCAATTTCTAGTATCAGGTGAAAATGAATAAGAACAACGATAAAGAAAAATGTGAAGACAAGGTGAGATTTATTCAAGTCCCGTGCCGACGGAGTTGACAAGAGTCGAGCCGCGTAAACATACTCGCTCTTTGTTGTTCTCAATGTACGTTAGTCGGTTGTTGAAGCCAGCAACAGAGATAGAAATAAGCGATGAGCAAGGAGAGAATAAAGACTCGTCGAGATAAAAGGAGAAAGCAAGAGATCCACTGTCGTTTCACGGTGGTTTGCTTCTTCAATGGGTGGTAGGCGTTAATGATAGTGGTAGACGTGGTCTGATCAAGTAGTAAAGCCCCTCAACTAGGCAGACATCCAATAAAAAGTCGTTAAAACGTGTTGTAGGTGGCAACACTGACGCTTCGCGTTTAATTTCATTGGTCGACTATGGACCAGTTCCGCCTCTATCCCAATGGTGGGGCAAGTTAGTTTTCAATCTAACCGTCAGAGGGGGTGGGGGATCAGTAGAAACGGAACTCCAAAGTGGATGTCGATGAAGTGGTGTGAGTGGAAACGAGTCAGTCGTAGACTGGAGAGCCCTGTGAGAGCAGGGGACGGACTCTGTGAGAGTACGACCAGCAAATCCTATATCTAATCGTTCGTAACGTATCTGTTCGTACGTCTGTCCCGCGTGTGGATTTCTAGTGTCACGTTCTTCCTCACTCTACCCCTTATTGTTCATCTGTTATATCTGTTATACGTGTCTATGAATTAAGCAAGGGCTCGACACTTTAAATACACTAGTACAACTTTTTTAAGAGCTTAAACATCCATCTACTCCAATTGTGTGATATAATCCACGTGCTCATCCATAAATTAAGTGTTATATTTACGTTGACTAACTGATCTAGACTCGAAGGGATGTGGTAAATAGGTCAGCATGAAGATTAAAAATAAATTGGACGAAAAGAAAACCTAATAATCGTCCATGTTGTTATTACGAACGTTATCATTAAGTGAACTTTATTTTTATTTTCATTTTAAGTATCATTGGCACTAAGTTTTTGAGTATTTACCTTGAGTCAACCTAATTATCAGTGATTATTATTACAGCACGGACTCGAATGAGTGCTGTGAGTGCTTGTGAATTGTGATTTTATTTTTAAAACTGTCAAGCAATACACCAAGTGCAGGGCATGTCGGCGTACGCGCAGTTCGGATACTCGTATCCGTCGGCATCTCAGGTAATAATAGCTTTTATTTCTCAATTTACCTACTCGCGAGTGGTTTTTTTTTTATTTTTATACCAATACACATTATCTTAATGCTCATCGCAAATACAATGACTCCGCTTTAGTTACATCACATTGTTGGAAATATTTATCGTCAATTAATCAATAAATCTGATTTTTTGTTGGTATAGTAATGCACACATTTGCTCTTTGGAGTATTCTATTAATTCTCATAATTATGGTTTAATACAAATGTAGCAGTAAATTGGCCAGTTGTATCCAATGTGAAAGAATGATAATTGGCAAAAGGGACAGGTAAAACCTGTCGAGAGCCGATGAGTGGAGAGATGCCCACAGCATTATACCACCTGCTTTATTCTTTTCTCTCTCTCTCTCTCTTTCTTTCTTTTTCTCGCTCTTTCTCTTCGCTGTATCCTCAGCTGGACATTCAGCGACGGCCGTCGCTTGATTGCGAGACTCCTCTGAGGTTTACACTCACCAGTTGTCATTCCAGTGTCCCTAAAACCATTATCATTCAATTTTATAAATTACAATAATGTATTAATTAATCATTACTCATTTATATTTCTACCGAAGAATTTATTTCTACAAACAGACGACAAATCAAATCTTGTTTATCTACTGTGGTATTTTTATTCTCAATTATTATGTTGCATATGATGAGAGAGAAAAAAATTATCACGAAACAATTTTCAGATTTTTTATGATAATCCAGAGAGAACAATCGATATTCTCATTTTTTTTTCATCAAAGCAACGAAGCGGAACGTTATTTTTTCATTCTCACGGTTATAGTTGGATTCATCCTACTATCTCGCAACGTCATTTAGATACGCAACCTCACATTTCAATTGCTTCAATTGCTTTGTTATAACTGCGACAGTGAAAGATTTCCTATGAGAAATTTTACTGAATAATTCCATTCGTCAGATCTTCAACTTTCATTGTAAAGAAAATTTAATCATTTGCTTAACATTTATCACATCTTTATATTTTTTGTTTTTAAATCATTGTGATTTATTTTTCCATTGAATGAAATTTTTCATGAATTAATAATAGAGTATTAATAAAATAAGCCAACCTTAAAAATCATTTCCCACCATATTTTCGCACAGTAAATTTTTTTATTTAACAATTAATTGTGATTTTATCGTGAAAAAGTAGTATTTTCTTGCTTAGTGGTAATCTTAAAAGCAATCAATTCCTTCAATTTTATTCGCTTTTCTCTTCCCTTCAATCCTTAAAACTTTCACTGATACACTTGGTCGTTATTCTTGGCAACCGAAATTGCCCGTAAAATTTCTCGTGAGCGCAATAGTTTCGGTCCATTCGATGCCTTTTACAAGCCAACCCTTTCTATTCACCTAAAAGTTATCAATGTTTTACAAAAGTTCAACTCCAGTGCACTTATTCGGATTCACTTTTTCTAAAAAGTAAAAAAAAAAAAATGTAGAAGAAAGCAAGCGCTAGCGCAGACGTACAAAGTAGTGTATGAATTCTGCGCACATATAAAATTTGATAAAGTATATGTTGGGTTGTGTATGCATGTAGGTATACCTACTTTCTATCTATAAAGATTGTGCCACTGAAAAGCTGCAAGTAGGGGGGAAATACAAAGAGTAAAAGACGGAAGAGTAGAAAATAAAGTTGTGAGAAAATATTTATTCTTACAATATAGATGTGTCAGTGTGATTCGTGTTTCCCGCATACCAATGACAGCACAATTGAAGAAACATATGTAACATGAATAGTACATAAAAAAAAGAGCATCATTTGATACTAATGTGCAGCTGTTATTATAGATTTCAATAAAATCTTGCGGCATATCACTTACATTTATAGAATCAAATATCATTCATTACATCGTGTTTATTTATCTGTAAAACTTGTGTACGAGATTCGATTATCATGTTTTCTACTATTCATCGTTTAAAATGATTTTTTTTTAATTCCCCAAGATATTTCCAAGTCCATAAAGTTTTTATCGATGCCCATCAGAGGTATAAACTTTCATACTCATGTCGCTTAGAAAATTGTTTCTAACTTTTATCTAACAGTTATATAGCTGCAGTTCATGGCAATCATGATTACACTCGATGTAGTCGGTGTTTAATACTTTCTGCAATTAATGACAAAATATTCACACTTTCTGATAAATGTATGGGAATAATATGAAAATTTTCAAATAGTAGTGAATCTATATATTTTAAGCATGCGGAAAACCGGTTGCTCTCGAATTATACATCAGGTGCAACTAGTTATTCTCTGTCTATTTGCTATCCTAGACATATTTAATTATTGTTGCGTATACGTATTTATAAGATATTCACTTTTATAATTTTTATTTATTTTTTACAAATTGTTTTTATGCTTTATTAAAAAAGAATTGAATAACAGAGGTTTTAATATTTAACGAAAGTAGCTTTAAAATGATTTATCGTTTTTTAAAAAACAAATTATGACCATCAAAAAAGCATTTAGAATAAATTAGTTTTTTTTGAAAAATATTTGACAAAAGAGTAAAAAAAAAGTGTATGACTTATTTATAATAATTATAATAATCAGTATCATATTTTCACACCACTATTGCTTTGAAACATTGTTATTTGGAATGAATGCTATAATTTTGTATTCACGTGAGTAAAAAAAATGATAAATAACTTTAAATTAACTTTAAAATTTAAATATATTGATTTTAAATTTGAAAAAACTCATTTATTCTTTTTTAATAACAAATTTTAAATTAATAGGGACAAATAATTTTTTTTTATGATTTTGTAATTAATAAAGTTTTTTCATAATAAAAATTTATTTAACCAATGCAAAAAAACTATTCCTTTTAAATAATTTATTATTCAATAATTGTTATAAAATATTAACATTGTATTTTAACTATTTGTAATCATTTTCAATAATTTTTAATGCTCATAAAATAAAATATAAAAATTTTTTTACATCAAAAAGTTGTGAAAAAAACTCCTAAAAAGAATGAAATTGACTCAAGTAATCAATGACATAGAATTTGATTTTATCCAACATTCGCTAACTTTTTACTAGCAGTCGTAACTATAAAAGTACCATCTGCTCTGGCAATTTAAGGGTTTGCATACTCGATTCACACAAATATTAAGTTACTGCGATTTTAATACTGCTGGAAACGTCGCCATAAATGTATAATAATATCAAACGAAATGTTTCAGTTATTGGTAAGTGGTGGACAGCCAACAACAGCAACATCTCCAGCTGTTTCATCAGGAAGTGCCTTAAGTCCTAGTGCACTTTCGCCATCATCAAATGCAAGGACTACAAGTGCTGTACCTGGTGCTTCAGGAGGAGCTGAAACTCCTGTTGGTAGTTCGACTGGTGCTGGATGCTGTGAAAATGGCAGGCCTATGATGACTGATCCAATGACAGGACAAACTGTTTGTTCTTGTCAATACGATAGTGCTGCCAGACTGGCTCTTGGTGCTTATCCGAGACTTGGCCCACCCGCAACCTCTTATTCAACTTATCCAACCCCTACACCATCAGCTACTGATCAAAGTCCTTATCCTAGTATCGGCATGGACAGCTCGGCTTTCTATTCACCTCTGGTAAGCTGCAATTGATTTCAACTTTAATTAATTTTCAACAAGTCCTCTCTTCGATCCCTCATTAAGATTAAATACCTTTTTTTGTTACTCAATCCTTCACTGAATCAATTATCTCGAGAATAAAAATATCATACTTTATAAGTCGATTATTTGACTGCATACTAAAATTGAATTCTCATCTTTTTTGATATCATTTATTTATCTGTTAAATTAGGAATGATTTGTTGATAGCATAAAAAATAAGTAAGTCAACACTTAAATGGATGATATTAATTTTGTAAATGGAAGTTATTTAATTTGTTTTAATAATGATTAAACTGAATAATTGTTTAATCGTTAGCTTAATAAAAAGATCGAATTATTTTTAAATGACTATTAAATTGTTCAATGGGGAATAAAATAATAAAAGCATGACATGAATGATATTCCTGAATGAGAAATTTAAATACTACTTGAATATAAAGCAAAATCGTCGTTATATATCGTTAAAATTATGAGTGAATAAATCATATCACATGGTGTCACGTTTTGTATTTTGTAAAGTACCGCAAAATTCAATAATATGTCCATTACGGCGTATCGCAGATGAAAAATATTCCCCTGAGACTTATCGTCGCTCAGATTTTTATCGGTAAGACAAACTTTGAATCACTTTTTGAGAGTAATCTATTAAAAGTATATTGCAATTTTTAGCTGATAAATTGATATGTCTTATCATTATTATATTAGTACATAACCACTTTAAGTTGACATGGAATATTTTTTTTTTCTTAATAAAAGAGGTATTGATATTTTAATTACGCGTTGTTTCAGTTAATACAACAAAACCAAAGTATTCTTGATGATTTAAACTATAAATTACTACAAATTGAGAAATGAATATCTACAAGCAATATTTTTTGAACAATTTTGGATTGAAAAATTGAGACAAATAATATTCTGTCTAAAGAGAAATTATTAAATTTATTATGACATGACTACGAGTGTTCCAAAAATATTTTTTGGCTCCAATATTTGAATCTAACAATCAAAAAATAGCACAGATGAGTTATTTCTATCTCTCAATGACATATTATAGAGGAAAAAACTTATTATCTCTTAAAAAGTGTCAAAGGATAAAAAATATGCTTAAATTATTTAGTTAAAACATCTTCGTTGTCTAACATGATTTTGTTTCACAAATACTGTCCAAGCATTACTCAATATCTAAGTTTATCATTAAAAAAAGCATCATAAATTAAAAAATCATCAAGAATAGTTAGTTAATTAAAAATATCAACTCTAGAAATATAAATCTTTCAAGTGAAATATATGATATCCTTCAAACAGATTATTTTAATTAATTACGAAACACAAATTAGAAATAATGTTGGAGCACGTGCTATTGATGAGATTTAAGTTGGCGGAGAGGGTGCAGAAGAGGCTCCACTCGTGCGTCGTCGTTCTTATGAGCATTATAAGAACGTAATAAGAGCCGGATTAGCATTGAATGAAATGGGCGGCGCAGCGTGGCGACAATAAGGGCAATAAGCATGAGTGGAGTAGAAGCAGTCCTTATATGCTACAGCGCGCATGGTGGTCCTTGTGACTCGCAGAACTACAAGAGCATGCCTCCTTTTCTTCTCTCATGTCCTACCACCATTTTTTTATATATCCTCAGTCTTTTCAACTTCCTCCTGTATGTCCTATACCTCTTTCCGTATATATCGAGCTTTAAACGTAACCTTGGTCGTAATACTTTGACGTTCAGCACACGCACAAGTGTAAAGTCTACGGCTTCATCATGTTATCGTATCTCAAGTTTATTTAATTATCACCTACATCCAACAACTACAAGTTTACTCTTTCAATTTGTGTATTCTGGCTATAATATTTTTTCTTTTAATTATTTTTATGTCTTCTAAATAACATATTATTAAGTTCTATAAACCTTATTTTTGCTTTTGAAATTAATCGTCGGAAGTGAATAATTCTAAATAATAGTTATAAAAACATGGATATTATATTAATTATGAGATTTCTTTTTGATAATTATTATTTATAATATATTTTTTGCACACTAGGGTGGCATGTCATAGAGATAATAAAAGGTAAAACATTGCAGTGACTAGAATAGATAATATTTACAATTTTCTAAAATTAATACCCTATATTTTATTTCCTCTGTGGAAAAAAAATAAAAATGTTTTTATTTATTTTAAAATTTTATTTATTCTCTGAAGTGCAGCCATGTATTTGGTCTGATAATTTCAACTTTAAACTTTTCATTTTTTAAATAATTGAACATTAATTGTTATTAATGGTTTTTTCAAACTATAATAAAATACTAAAGCGAATGATTAAATTTTTTGACACATTTGAAGTTGAATGAAAAACCAAATAATAAAGTTTACTAATTAAATTACATTTTACATCATGATAACAGTTAATATCTACTTTTTATAAAAAAAAAAAAAACGTTTTTATTTAAATTCTGTATCTACTGAATGTGCAGTAGAAATAGTCATTCTGCCATTTTTATCGACTTTTATTGAAGGTAAAAATTTCTATTGTTTGAAAAATGATTGTCTGTGTGTAATGGTGAACAAGCTGGATCAAAATTCCATAAAATAATCTCTCGTTTATTGATCCTTAAAGATGGGATTTACTGTGATGTATGGAGAGATTAATATAAAGTTATGTTAGCCGCTTACAATGCATATGATTCAAAGCATGATTGTTGAGCAGCACTAGTCAGCGTCGTGACGACAGCGTTCAAGTCCTTCAAGGACCACCCGCGGATCCGACGTCATAAAAAGGCGCCGAGAAGTCCGTTCGAGAAATCCCATAAGAGGTCCTGATGGCGTGACCCAGAGAATTCTTTGACGATATTAAGCTCACCCGGAAGAAAAATTGTCCAACGTAGGAACAAAATCATAATAATAAGCAGAAGGAAAAAGCTTAGAGCAGAATCGCGAAGCGTATATACACAAAAGTCTTGAAGTAAGAAGAGAGAATTGAGAATTAGAAGCAGACGAGATGAAATACGAAACGCACCGGCGCCAACTTTTCCTTCTTTCTCTTTCGCTTCGTGCTCTTTTCAAGTCCCAGCCACAATCTAAAAATATTCTTTTGTGCCAGAGGCATTAGCGTTATTCATTTTACTCCTTAAACCTTAAACAACTGCTACTACACTTATGTGTTCCACTGTCTACTTCTCATCTTATTCACACGCTTGAGTGTGTACAAACGATTATATCGCGATATCTTGGTTCATCAGAATACTAAAAAGCTCCTCTGTCTTTTGTAGGGAAATCCTTATGGTTTGAAAGACGCCACGGGGATGGGAATGACGGCAGATATGGGCGCAGCTTGGGGAACAGCAGCGTTGCAACCTGCAGCGACAGGATATTACCCTTATGATCCAACGTTAGCTGCGTACGGGTATGTATAATTATTTATTCAACTCGCCTACACAAAAAAACCCATTGACTTTATAAACTGAATAAATTGAAAAATAAATTAACTTTTGTTTACTTTGTACTGACTTTATCAACTTAAGGAGATTCTTCTATCGTATTGTAGTCAAATCATGAATAACAAGAATGGATATAAATATCAGTTGAATTTAGAAAAAACATCACAGTTAGACACTTAATCGACCAGTTTAACATTTTCATGCTCCAAAACAAATACTATGACTTATTTAACAGGAGTTTCAAATGTTTGATTTTTTTTTTATTTAGATGATAGACTTTACCCTTGCTATAACATTAATATTTATTATGAAATAAAATGGCAAAAAATTACTTTTTCAAAGATAAAAAAAAACTTTTAGAAACAAACTGTTAATTATCTGGAAAAAAAGACTTTAGCAAAGTACATATGTATTATTTTTATGAGAATTATTTGAATTTTTATAGCAAAAGTTTCAGGATAAAAATAGTTTTGTTAAAATGGGATTTCGGTAGACCCTTGTAACAAGATTTTCTGTGTCTTATTCAACGTAGAATGCCTGCACCCTATGAAGTATTTTTATGTATTAGGTACGCTTGAGAGAATAAGTTGAGCTACAATTTTTCTCTGACAATTGAATCTTGTCTTATATTTATTTGAAGTAAAGCATGGAGTTAGAGGAGAGGTATCAGGATAGCGTAAGTAGTGTAAAGGGGATAAAATAATGTTTGGAGGTTGGAATGGATTCGTAAATATAAATAAAATGAGTATAGAGTATTAACGGAAAGTATATGGTGGGCGTAAACAAAATATGGTGGGTTTGTTGGTTTGGCGGTTTAGTTTAGTAGGCGCATCATGAACGAGAGAGGCAACAACTCGAACTCTGGTCATATAGAATAGTATATAGGGAGTATAAGCGAGTGAGTTTATTGATTGGCTTCCTCCCGGGGTTTCGCCGGTTCACCGCTCGCGTTTTCGATCTCTCTCTCTCTCTCTGCTGTTTCTCTCTTCTCCTCTTTTACCTTGCTACACGGCCTTCTCTACCCTCTCGACACTCACGCCCACCCTTACAGCAAGCAACTAGCTCCCACAGGTGCTTTACTTGCTTTGCTTGGCAACCCTCGTGTCCGCACTCACGGCTCGATTCTCCCTACTGTATCGCAAACGCGCCTCCTCTGACTACTCCATTTATAATACTTGTATCTCTTCTTCATACGTGTGCAGCGTTGAATATTGTAGAACTACTACTGCACGGCCAACACCGGGGAAGGTACACAGACCCTCTACTGAGCATTGTTTATCGTGGAATCCACCCTCGAGCCTCTCCATGAGTCTACTCCACAAGCCGCTATTAATTTACTTGCTTAATAATACCAACCCGTGGGGCCTTCATTGCTTCCTCTTCATTCATGTCCCTCATCTTTCACTCTCACACTTATTGCTCCTTGCCTTTTTTAGTTTTTATTGTTATTATATACTGCCAACTCATCCAGTGATCAGAAACAGCTTCAGTAACACCCCAAAGAAAGACTAAAGCCATTGTTTTTTATTTTATTCTCTTTTTTTTTTCTTTTAAAAACTATTATGCGTGAAGAGAAAAATCATTTTCGCAAAGAATAAAGGTTTTTGATAGGAAATAAGTTTGCTCATAATCATTACTTCCAAAGAGTTTCTCTTTTAATTGATAAAAATAGTGGGAAATAAATGTTACATATTTGATTGCTAGGTTGAAAAAGTTTTACATTTTAAAAAAATATTTAAAAAGTAACAAAAAAATTTTATTCAGTCAATTATTCAGCCATTGAGAAAGATATTTTTTACTAGTGAAGAAAAAATGAAAAAAGTTTCATTTGATTTCCTTAATATTTAATTTGACCGTAAGTCTGATACATTATACATGCATGATAAAAGGTTTTATAGAGGAATAAAAAAATCCTTCGAATTTCAGCTAAAATGTATATACATATAGAGCTCGGTTGTTCCCTCATACTCTTTCAGTCTGTTCCCCGTTCGCGACAGTTGCCCCTAGCCTTCCTTTTTCACTTTACTCTCCGACCGTGAAAAGCTCTCATGGCCCACCCAATACCGCCATCTACCACTTTCATTTTTGCTCTTTTGCAATTTTCCAACCTGAATGTAAATCGTGTAAATCTTCATCCGGCTTTAGACTTTGGAAATAAATCTTCAAAGCATGCTGATTGACTCAATAGATACACTTTTGTCTGTTACATATTGTAATCTAATATTTACTACTGCTATCAGAGCTACTAACTTCTCATTACTCGAATTGTAATTACGCACATTCTACCAATATTGGTTAACCTTTCGAGATTGCCGTATGCAAAAGACCCTAATGAGTCGTTCAAGTGGACGCTATTCCCAGTCGAGTGTCATATACGTTCCCATTCTCTCCTCATTCTGCTTCCCATATCGTTATTGTCTACGCAATAAAAGGAAAATCATTTTTTAAGAGAAATAAAATTTTTTTGTCGTAAAAAGAGAAAATTATGGAATTTTAAATGTTTCATTTAATAGTTTTAAAACTAAAAAAAAATTCTAGAACTGTTTCAAATAAAATGGATGCTAAATGAAATTATTTGAAAATTCAATGATATCCATTTATTTTTACAAAAGTTTTTATCAAATGGAGTATGCAAAAAAAAACTAAAACTTTTTACAGAAATAATTATCGTAATAATATTTTTGACATTTCATTAATCTCTTTTAGTTTAACAAATTTATTCAAATAAATAATGAACTTGAGAAACGAGATTTAAAAAAACATATTCTAACTAATTTAAAATTACTTCAATGCTGTAAATAATAATAGATGCAACTTGAATTAATTTTTTTTGCAGGTAATCAATGTTTGCTAATTTAATTTTATATCTCTAACAAATTGAACTGCATTCTAGAATTCAATCCATAGATTTTTTTTGCTTTAGTCTATCTATTGAAATTTTATTAATTATTTCAACCGATTTCTAAAAAATTCATTAAGAACTTGTTCTCAATAAATTTTTAAAAACATTTTAATATTATTTTTAATTTTCTAATTTTATATAGCATTCTGTTTTATAAATAAATTTCTAATTATTATTGAAAAAAATAAAAATAAATCAAAAAGAATTCTTTCTTACTCTATAATTTGGCTTGATAATTTTTTCCCCTAAATTTCATGAAATAAAAAACATTAAATAGATTTATGTAAAAACAGTAGCAATTTGGTTTAATCTTATCTCTTAAACATAATGATATCGGTAAGAAAAATAAAACATCTTGGAAAAAATTCCACAATGTCTGATTATTGATAATGTAATATTAAAACAAATTCCGTGGTTACGATTAAAAACGAGTCGCGATTGTATACTTGGTTCATTAAGTTTTTACGCAAGTTCTCAGATAATCCTTTCCCGCAGCGAGAGTACACATAATGGCGTCGATCGATTTCCCGGTCGGCGGCACCAGGTTTCATGCCCCTTCCTCCCCGTCCAAGCTTTTTCCCTCTCTTTACTTACTAGAGCACGAGCAAGCGCGCGGTTTTATTGGAAAGGAGCCTCGGTGGCCGCCTTTCCCTTGTCTGGGGGGAATTTAATAGAGGGTGAAACCACCTTCTACTTTCTTTTGCTGCTATAACACAGTCTTTCTTCTTCACAACGTCTATAGCTTCGACTTGAACCCCAACTCTAAGCGAGAAAAGCCCATTCTGGTTGCTTTTTTCCTCATTCTTTCTCACCAAGCCAGTCATCAAGCAATCTTCTGGACAACCGAGGGGTTCCAAGTAATTCTTATGTTTGCACAACCAAAGTGCCAAACTAATCGTCGTTGATTTAACAATTCGATTTACTCACTTACTTCTCATTCTTGAAAATAACTCAATCGTTCCCCACTTTAACACTTCATCACTTTCTTACTTTATCTTATAGCTTCATTATTCATTATCCTCCTCCTTGGATTGTCCATCAAATAAGCCAACGTGGTCACATCTGCTGTATACATTTATTTATGACCAAGAATAAAAAAAAAAGAAAATATAAATTGAATCAGGGTTATGTTAAGCAATTCTATGGTCACGGTGGGTTACTTAGATCTTCAGTAAACTATGAGCCAACTATTGTTATAGGCAACTGTAGAACCCCCGTATAGTGGATAGTCACTCAATAGGTATTTTAGTTTCTAGTAGCTGAGCTCCACTTGGTGTGTGTATATATAACAGTGCTAGGCAGCTATAATACAGTGGATGTCGAGATGAAGGGGATCGATCGAATCGCCATTACTGCGAGAGTGAGTGTGGCCTCGATGGAATCACGCCGCCGACGTTGCTGCTAGGGTGGTTTATTCTCCGTATATATTTGCCAGCGTATCACCCTCGTCCCGATAGGATGACGCTCTGTGAGAGGGTGAGAGAGAGCTTTAGATATGAGGGCGTGTTTGCCCATGGCACGACATACGCAACGACTAGGGCTCTCTTATTCAGACTACTGCTTTCTCAAATCCCTGGGGAATCCGCGTATACTCACCACCCTGGTGAATCCAACGAGAGTTTCAATAGGGATAAATCATCGCGAGAAAGTCACTTCCTAAATTGTGTCAGTCAATACTACATGTCAAACTTACTTTCAGATGATATTGTTATCCTGTCACGTTCGACCACTTATGAAATGGATTTTAACATTTGTATCTAAATGTATTCGTTATAGAAAAAATATTCATTACTGTCAATTTACTTTATTTTCTCAAGTAAATATTATTGGAGCAAAAAATAATATCTTTAAAAAGTTTTTATCAATTAAGGTTATGTTTTTTTTTGGTTGTTGGATAAAAAAAAAAAAAATTAGCCAAGAAAGTTAGAATTTTTAAAAATTTTAAATGTATTAGTAGAAGTTGGACATTTTCAATACATTTCCTGATGATAAATCTACCAACAAAAAAAATCAATCAGTATTCATTTTCAAAGCTCAGTGTACATCAATTTTTTTTAATAAAAATACGTCAATATTATTTCATAGCACAGACATTTTTTCTTTTTTTTTTTCATTTTTTACACTTGCATTGAGCAATGTTTAAATACACTCATTCCAATGCTACCTATCAGTTTGCATCAGTCAAACATACGTGTTCAACAAAGTTTTATTTTTTTAACAAAAAAAAACTTGTAGTATAATCGAATTTTATCCATATTATAATATTACTTAGAAGATAAATTGATAATAAAATAAAATGAAATTTATTCACCAGTATAATTAACATTAAAAATAAATATTTTTTACTCTTTATTTTTTTCTGAAACATTTACATATCTTTGAAGATCTAACGTACTAAATGAAATTTATATTATACAAATTATTGAAGTGTAACACAAATGATTAACGCCAAGTTCCGATATTGTATGTCTAACTTGAAATGCGGTTGTCCTTGCAGATATGGAGCCGGTTACGACTTGGCGGCACGACGTAAGAACGCAACGAGGGAGTCAACAGCAACCCTAAAAGCTTGGCTCAATGAGCACAAGAAAAATCCATATCCTACCAAAGGTGAAAAAATAATGCTCGCCATCATCACCAAAATGACACTCACTCAAGTATCAACGTGGTTTGCCAATGCAAGACGAAGACTCAAGAAGGAGAATAAAATGACGTGGGAGCCGAAGAACAAAACGGATGACGATGATGATGCGATATTAACTGATTCGGAGGATAACAAAGACAAAGACGATATGAGCAGTGACACCCATCGAGCAGACAGAGTAGGAGAAGATTCACAAAGGAGTCTAGATGATAATGGTAATTTTTTATTTAAATTTTATTACCAAAAGATAGTAGATCTCTGCAGTAATCTGTATGCAAGTCAGGTATTAGGAAATATTTCAACAGCTAACTAGTCTCCATATCCCACTGAGAAATTCCAAATTCGCAATGAATTCAAAGGAAGTGAGATCAGGATTGTGTCGCGGCGGTGGACATAATGGTTCACATGTGGGTAAACATAGTGACGGGTTGCGGGTTGCCGCGCGAAGAGATTAATGGCCTTCGGGCTTAGCTCCCATTTTCTCTCTCTCGTAATTCTAGTGTATTGGTAGTAGGTAAGGGCATTGGCAGAGACACATATACAGTAACAGCAGCACATGTGCGTCCGTCTAGAGTAATGCAAGAGTGCGAGGGTGCGGCCAGACGTACTGAGTAGCCACTGGTAGGATCATATACTCTATCTGGAGTTTATATATACCCGATGTGTGTGTTGTATTGTGTATATAGATGCCGGGGTTGTGGTTTGAATCAGAGTGATGTATCGGTGCCTGCAGCGAGACGAATAACAGAGTGAGAGGATGAGAGAATAGAGGAATATATACTCTACCTCTGTATAGCACTTTACTAGCACATGAAAGCGCCAACATCGAAAGCCCAACCAAATGGCTTTCCTCAATTTAATTCTCTTCACTGTCGCGATATTGTTTTCATTCTTACGTTGGATTAAAAGTTAAATTAATATTAATTATATGAATTAATCGGTGATAACAAAAGGTCAAAAGTTAAAGAGCCACTTGTGGCAGTATCTGTTTAGTTGAGCCATAAGGTTCCTTTTATAAGGGGTAAGCTCACACCCTAAGCCCGCAAACTCAAGAGCTTTATCTCTGTCTTATGACTGCAGTCTAGTTGATGAAGAAAAAGGAAGAAAGTACTAGCTAGATCTGTGTGGCTCTCTTCGCTTGGGGAATTATCGCTTGACGACCCATCAACTAAACCCTCTGCCAACTCATTCGAACCTCTTAATGAAATTCTCACCCCTGACTGACTAGCTGGCCGCTCCGCCAGACAGACGGGACGCTCCTAGAGTGCCTTGGGAGAGAAATAAGGGGTGAACAAGAAGATGTTGGTGTGTATATATGTATTATAGGAGGACAATCTGACAGAGAAGACGCGCAAACGAGAGAGAAATGGGAAAAAAGAAAAGTGGTAAGGGCCGCCAAGGGATATAAAGAAAAAAGGAGGGTGAGATAGAAAAAGATCTGCTTCCCCGAGGGGATCCAAAATCTCTCGTGCTCCCCAAAGTGGTTGCAGGCTTCGCTCCCCCTTTTTTTCACAGCATCCCTTACGGCTTAACTCAATGAGGGTGGTAAGAGAAATCTTCTCCTTTTCGCACTCTCGCTATTTTTCACTTTCACCCACTCTATCTCTTGCTTTCTTCAATGCTTTTCTCCTTATACTGCTCTTTTCGACGTTGTCCCCCGCAATGACACGCATACCGAGTCAAGCTTTCACACCAGGGACTATAAACCATTAACGGCAATATTGCTACGCAGCCAAGCACACTTTACCCTCATGCAATAATTAACGAGCCTGGGGATTTTGGCTTATCGTCTCTATATACTACCTTTTCAATGAGGATCATCAGATTTTTAAAAAGTTTGTCGACAAGTCGATTGACCCTGTTGATGTATTAAACCACATCATTGAATAATAATTAAAATGTAATATTGATTTTCTTCTATTTTCTGATAATTATTAATTATCTTTGTCAATATTATTTTATAGAAATAAATTGTGGACTATTAGGTATTTTTGAATATTGAATAAAATCTACATTTGTATAACAATTTTTTTGTTTTTTTTTTTAGAACCGATCAGGCATGTAAAGGCTGAACATATGCATCACGAAAAAGATTTAGAAGATGAAGATGACCTCGACTTGGAAGACGATCCTAGAAGAGGAGATATGAACTTTCACCACATGCCACAACATCACAGTCACCATCATCATCATCATCAAGGTTATGTGAATGAGGATCATCTTAAGGAGGAAGGAGTCAAGTCTGATTGTCAAGCCAGTGGAGTACCTATTCCAGCCTCTAAGCCTAAAATATGGTCTTTAGCAGATACAGCAGCGTGTAAAACACCACCACCATCGTCACATCCACACCAACAACAATATCTTCATCATCATCATTATGGACTGCCGCAGCAACAACATCAGTTGCAACAACAACACAATCTTTCTCACAATCATCACCAAAATTCTCAACAACCTTGGCTAGGGTCCACCAGTGGTAGTGGAGGTGATAGTACAGGCATTGGGGGACTAAGTTCATTTGCTTTACCATCCGCCACGTCAATGAGTCCATCAGCAGCAACAACAGCTCCATACTCAAACACTGTAACGAGATACGGTGGATTTCTAAGCTCGTCTTCCGGCGGTCAACTTCACTACAACCCTAACTCGTCGTCTGGTTCATCAACTGCATCATCCTCGGCTGCGGTGGGGTTTCCCGAAGTTGGTACAGACACACCACCCCAAACTCCACCGAATATGAAAGTGGCCACACCCAATGGAGTGATCCAAGCACCTCCCGGAACGTATTGCGCTAATGGCAACACAACTGCCAATGGCAATCCTACAACTGGTCATTATCCAAATGCAAACCTTGCACCAACTGGTAATGGTTATCTGTCCTCCAGTTCTGGATCAGCAAGCAGTAGCTCCTCCTTTGGTTCGCGACTCCAGAGCTCTCCTCACAAGGAATTTTCGTCCGTTAATCAAAGTTCCGCCCTTCATCAACAAACCACTGCTAGCCTTGCAGCTGCAGAAGCAACAACTGCATTCAAACCATTCTACAAAGGGTAATTATTTTTTATCAAACTGAAATACATATCATTATCACCATTTTAATTGTAAATTTATTTTTTCTCGACAACATATAGATCGCAGTCAATGACTAGTGGATTTGTATCGCCAGTTTAGAAACACACCTTAAAAACATGAATATTTACGATAAAGGATTCTTCGTTGATGAGGTGAGCAGAATAATAAAATAATAATACGGCAATATAAAGTAAATGATAAATAGACTGGGGAAAAAATTATTATCATTATTGTGTTAATAATCGGGCGGCAAATTATTCAATATAAAACCAATGATGCATTGAAAAGTTTATTTTGGATGAATGGGAGGTGGGAAAGGGAATAAAAAAAAAGGTTAAAACAACAAAAAAAAATACTGAAGATCGAGAGGGTCTCGACATCTTGCCAAGACCGGGTGTTAGCTGGATGTCCTTATCTCGTGGCAATCTGATCCTAATTTATAGTCACGTCTCGAATAAACTAGTTTTCGCTGTCGTCACCTCGACTCAGACGATTGCTGGTCGTCTCTTTGCCACCTTTTTGTTGCCATCCAGCCACAAAGTTGAATTTTCGCCACTCACGTTATAATGCACACTCGCCGACTCTTTCTACATTAAATTCATTCTTTCATGTGTTAATTGACTGAAAACAGTAGGGGATTTAGAGTTATTTAACGATCATCGTGTTTAGTCTGGTGGTATAGTAGGTATAGCGAAAAAAATAAGTTCACCGGTCTCTCGTAATTGCCAATTAGTAAGGGGATATCTAATTGCCATTGTAGAATGTGCGGGTGGTTCGTAATGATCAGTTGTTCGGTTCAACGACCAAATCACGAGTGCATCACAACTTTCTGATCGTCTCATCAACACCATTGTGTGCTCACTATTTTTATACCAAGTTTTTTATAGGTAAATATTTTCTGATACTATAGGTTTCACATCTACCAATATTTATTCGATGTTCTGAGCATCTGCATAAAGTTCGGAAGGCTCCCACTGGAATATTCCCAGTGCTTTGTGGTTAACGGCTATCCTGGGATTCCGTGTGGATGGGTGTCCCCATAATAAATCCTTTTGCCTGTGGATTCTGAGATACCCGGGACGTGCCGATACTCGCGCGTTCTTTGTCCCACGACTGCCAAGGAAATGCCGGAGGAGGCGAGAATACCTGAGGACCAACTCCCGTTGTTCGTGCAAATTCTTCTTCCCTCGCACTATTTTTAGTCTCTTTGTATTCTTTTTTTTATTCTGCTTTTGCCTTTATTTTTCGTATTTTTTTCCTCTTTTTCTGTTTTTTTTTAAGCGGAGATTTTTGCGATGGAACGATGCGTTCATTTTAGCAACGGTTCAATGAACACGGCGCGTCAACGAATTACACGTTTCGCCGCGCAACAAGTGGTAAACCCGTTTCTTATTCGTGATGGCAGACAATTTCCAAGTGAATATGGAAATAGGACGTGAACAAAAAAAAAACATATACATATATATAATCCGACTACCTTCAATTTCCGATAAATATCGCAGAGACTGAGAATCCGACGACGATAGAAGCGTATGCGCTATAACGACTATCGAAGATGAATTGTTCTATGAGAGAATAAAGCCAGCTGGTGTGGCATTTAGCTCCAATCCGTCGATTGTTCGATTATGTCAACTCAAAAGCATGAATTCCCTCGTCGGTTTGTATTGCGAAATGGCATTTGAATGTAGATGAGAATATAAGTGGAATAATGATGAATATAAGCTTTCAAATAAATATTTCATTCCACTTTATCTGTTGGAAAAAAACGATGATTACTATCAGATTTGATAGAATTAATAGTGGAAAATAAATTACGATCATCTTTAACTGTTTTCTTCTTCTCATTTCTCTGCTTTATCGCTAGGATGAGTGTAGTAACTGTTCAATATACATAGATATAAGTCACGGTGTACATGTAGACCTATCCTGAGACCGCCTATCCTGCATATCCGGCTTAAGTGCTCTAGTAACAAGCATTTACACGTTACAAACGTTCGGAGCGCAATGTCAGCGACCATCGTTGGTTCAAGAAACCGGTCCTGCACACTAGAAACTATCCTCGGATTATACTCGTAATTGTGAACTGAGACGCGCGCGTGTGACATTCACGATGTCGCCTCATGATATTGAATATTAATCGCTCACGTGCAACAATCGGTCGTTGTCTATACGATAGTTAAGTTGAATTTTTAACTTCACACCTCGACTAACAACCTTCTTCTCTTAATTACATTAATAAACTAAAATTGTCTTTTTTTTGTTTTAGAATAATTAGAACGTCAATAACCACATCTCTTACCATCACCTGCAGAGAGTGTTCAAGAGTTGAATAAAATAAATCATAGGAATGGATTATTGTAAGAGAACCGACTAGCAGTGGACAAAAAGAAAGGAGATTGATTGTACGATGAACAGACTGAGAGAGTGTCTCAACTCTATGTCTATAAATCGTTCGAGTACTCTGTTGCAAGACCTGAGAGTAGCAGTATAAGGAGATACGCGTGTAGACGAGAAAGCGAATGGGCTGGGATTAGTTGGTGAGGGATTAGGAGCTAAGAGATGAGAGAAGACTCTAGAGAGAAGGACCTAGTATGTGGGCTCATGTGTGTACGTGTCGTGGGACTTTAGTGCCACGAATAGGAAACCTCGTGACTAAGAATCTGATAGTTTTACTTCACTGAGCATAAAAGCATCACAGGTTACTTCAACGAATTATTATTTTTTTTTTTTTTTAATTTAGTTGATTATTATTAAAAACTATTCTCTGAGAGAGTATTTAATACCGGGAAATGTGCAAATGGCAACACTATAGAATTTGGTTCTTCATTAAGAATTAATTCAATCATGGTTGTTCGTTATTACATTATCACTATTATGATTATTAATATTATTATTATGCAATAATAAAACGAAATGTTTTGAACAAACAACGAGCGAGAACAACCAACTATTGTATAAAGTTTAGATATTTTACGTCCATCAGAGCCTCGCTCTAATTTAAGATAATTACTTGTTAACACAAGTCGAAAATAATTGTTTAAAGAATCATAATACACAAACAATCAATCAATATTTAATTGAACAAACCTATGAAAGCTTTACCAGTGTTAATTATGCAAAAAAGTCCGCCACACTCAATTAATTGTTTATCATGTGAAAAAAACGATATTGATAAAATATGTATAAGTAGCCTCCACAATAGCTTAAGGTATGTACTTTAAGCGATTATCACGATACGTCGCCGTTTACGTATTAGTGTTGCCCATTCCCCTATGTCCACCCTATTCATACGTTAATTAATTAATGTAGACTAAGTATATGATATATCGGTAATTGGGGATGCGTGTATACGTCATACAAAGTTTTCAAAGGGGGATAAAAAGATTATATTAGGAAAAAAAAAAACAATTTATTGACCACATCTGATGTATGTCACGTTTTATTATTAAATAATTGTGATGATGCTTGTAAACTTATTCAAAATCGCATTATGCAATGTAAAAAAAAAAATTATTGATATTTTCTTATGTCTATATATGTATAATCGCTGATGGGATGGAAAAACGACGACAAGTGTTTCAAACTATTAATAATATAGTAAAAAAAAAATATTATTATTGTCATTATAATTATAATTACAATTATGATTGTTTTAAAATTTATTGTGTTTTAAATGCGAAAAAAATTCTGATACATTTTTATCGCAACTCTAGAGAAGACATGAGCGAAAAAAAAATTAAAAAATTGATTCATTTATATCTGTGATAAATAAGGGAGATTGAAGAAATTTTTATAGTATAAATAATAATTAAATAATATGTGACTATGGCATGATATGGGCTACATGAAGAAAACGTTGGAACGGCGGCGCCGTTTGCAATCATCTAGTATGTAATATTTGAACGTCATCATCATGATATTATATCTTAGGACGGGTTAAATGTACAACAATGAGAGTATTCGAACTCAATTGTTAGTACAATTTGTACATTAATGGAAATTTGTAAATAATTTTGAATGTGAACATAGAAAAAAATATATGAATATATGATTATTACTATAATTATTATTATTATTATTATTATTATTATTGATATAATTCTTTATTATTATATTATTTTTTAAAGAACAAAAATCAATATTATATATATTAGAAATATGAAAAGTTTATTAAGTTGTGTAAAGTTAATTATTATTTGTATTTTGATATTTTGACTGTTGATCAGAGTTTATTATTCATTAATATTTTATTATTAGTGAGTCAAAAGTTTTAATGACGAATAAACAATACACAATAAATAGTAAAACAATGCAAGTGATCCTCAATAAATTTTTATAGTCAGGCAGTATCAACAAGGTCTGTGGGAGACTTATTTAGTGTGGAATAAGGTTTATAAGACCGAGCGAGCAAGGTAGTAATGAGCGAGAAAGTAGTGGATAGAAATAAGGGAGTGAATGCAATATAAGCATCCTGTTAAGAACTTGGGAGCGAAAAAAAACGTAGGGAAGCTTTACAGCTTCTCAAGTCTGTTTTATGTGCAGTATTAAAATCAATTGCGGCATCTTTATAGATTAAATATATAGCCGCAAGACTATACAAACCTACAAGGTTTTCGTATGTATTATTTTTTTTTCTTTCTCCATTTTGGAATAATAATATTAACAAGTCTGAAATACTGAAATATTATGATAATAATAAGAATAAGGATGAGAGAACAGTAAAAGAATATCACAATATTGATAACCAACTCATAGTGGGTAAGAAAGACATTATCATAAATTTGAATGTCCACGCGCTGGAGTCCAGTCTGAGTGTGTATGTATCAAAACATACACCCTCCACCCCGTCAAGTATCTCCCCTTCTTATTTGCCCTTTATGGCTTACTTTATGGCGAGAACTCAATTTGATGTGTGTGCTCTGGCCGGTTGCTTGCTGCTCGCTGCTATTCGGGGTGACTAATATACCCAAACGCACTACGTTGCCGGTGATGCATCGTCATGCGTGGTCCAGAGGACGTCGTGACCGTGTATACCTTCGCCCTCACTGTGGGACGTCGCGCGTTAACTTATGCTCCATTACCAACGCTCTCACTCTTTCCCAGTTGTATTATATTTTTGATATTTTCATTTTGATGTATATAATAGGAGTTTTGTTTCAAATACAAGCTCATATATTTTCCCCCTAAGTTTTGATATGTATAATATATGCATCAAAAATACTTGGAAAGCCATTAAATTCAATAATCTCTACAGTAGTTAAGATACTTGAAAAATAAATAAATAAATATATGACATATTCAGAAGAAATGTGTAATCGAATTGAACGAAATAATCAAGAGGACAAAATGGTAGTTTGATAAGCCGAGAGTTGAAGGATGAATGTGTTATAGTATACATACAGAAACAACGATAAATGCATTACACTTATCGGGCAGTAAAGATGTTTACAGCGCGTTCCACAAGCTTCGGCTATCGCTATCGTCTAATCCTCTCCTCTTCGTCCCAAAAAACCACGACTACTCTAATTGATTTGTGGCCGAGGCACTATCGCTTCTCGTAATTTTAATTAAATTACATGAGCACCCGTCATCCCACTCGACCATTGAAACCATTGCACGTCTACCAGGTCACAGATATGTCACCCTACTATCTTATTCGACATGTATTGACACTAGAATGACTTTTTTTTCATTTAACCCTCACATATTCAACTTGTCTGGACTCTCTTGTTCTAAATTATCTCTCAGTTTTCTCTTGTCAGCCATAAAAATCCAACTTACTTACCAACTAACGAACCAAACCATCTCTTACTCTTTCTCTTTCTTTCACTTTGTTATGCTCATTTAACTACACGCCATTTAGTCCCTTATATAGCTCACTAGACGACATACAGAGCCAAGTAGATATTGCCATAGGAGGAGAGAGTGTAGTTATTCATTCCAAAAATGACAAGGACTAAGAGGAAAACAATAGATCTCGTGTGGTGATGAGACACGATAGCTATGAGAGGGTAGTTTGATGGTCACGGCTCAGCAGGATTAGTTCTGGAGATCCCTAGCTAAACGAGCTCTCATGTTCACTGCAGTTGCTCGTTACGTAGTTGGACTATATGATTTTTTTATTTTTTTTTCCTTCTGAAAGTTTTTCATCTGACAGAGAAAAGGTAAACAGAATTTTTTTTCTTGACTCTTAATCTTTTTTTTTTACAATATAATAAATCTAAATATTTAACGGTGTAGATTTATAAATATTCTCTACAACACCTGGGCTCATCTTTCGTTTCTGTTCAGTTGCTATATACGTACGCGGTGTCATCTTCGAATGCTGCAGCGATTTATCACTGGACTCAATCCGACCAAGCCTCTTCTTTGTATCTCTCTCTGGCCTCTAGGATAGTGAGTCATTATTTTAGAATAATCTGAAACCGATGGTGATTAGTGGAGTTGGCGTCACCTGTGCCAAGGCTCATTTATGTACAATAGGTAGGGATATACATACGGATATGCAGAGAAGTGTATACATACAGATCGTCTCAAAAATGTGTGCGAAGTCATCTACAGTTGACACTAAAGCTGATGAATATACCAGGTCCATCGATCATCCTATTATAACGTCAAGAATTGACATTGTCAATTCATCCTCAATTCTCTTATAACACTTCCGGTCCCAATCGTCGTAATTGACAACGGTATTTAGCAGGTCAGTTCGCTCAATTTTATGTTATCTTAGCCATAGGCATGGCCGCACACGTTGAGATTTACGTTTCTTAGGTAGTAAGCTAGCTTTGAAAAAATAAAATAAATCTTTAACATCATGGACGCGTCCATTCAAGGCTACAGAAAGACTTGGGATGTCCGGTTCACACACGCCAGTATCACTCTTCTTGAATCTCTCATCTTCGTTTCATCTTTCTTTCTCCTCTCTTTTTTTCTCAATTTGTATTTTACTCTATCACCATTGTTTCCAATCTGAAAAAAATAAAAATTATTTATCATTGACTCTTTTTTCTTAATGATTTCCTAAATGTTCTACTATCTAAAAGTCATGAAAAAATAAAATAGTTGAAAAATAGATCACTAGATAAAAAATAAGCTGAAAGAATATTATAAGGTGTGATTGGAGTCTTGTCAAGAGGGATATTTTGACAGATATTACTGACTTATTTAAACAGATTTTGGATTATTATTTGCTATACTGAGTGTGATTTGTTTGATCCTTATGTTCTCAAGCCAAAAGACTCTTAAACTGTGATTGTGCGAGAAAGAGCATGTTGAATATATTATTGGATACACGCACGAGTATTTTACCTTTGTTTTCAAAAGCCGCAAGTATTCCTACTCACTCATTGAGAGTGAGAGGATATATAGAATGGGCAAAGAAATTTCCGTGGAATCTCGCCTGTTTGGTATCGTCTACCGGCATAGAGAACTGGCAGAGACAAAAAGAGTGTGTGAGAACGAGTCGTGGGTCCCCGCTGCATCTCTAAACGACCGGATGTGGACAACTTCAAGTCGGTTTTTTTTTCAGCCATCGTTTCTCAACTTTTCACCTCGGAGGTAGCTATTGGGGCGACGACAGGTTCACACTAACCTGACCATTCCTTCTGCTACTTCTAAAACTCGCTCGAGTTAGCTGCACATATAATCAGAGTGTGCACAACAGAGACAACAATAAAAATAGTTGTGGATAAAAAATAAAAAACATACATTCTGTGATGTGACAGATGTTTTGGCAGAATTCGATGGTGGTCCTTGGCGGCATCGGAGCACAATTTATCAGGCATTATCTTGGACAATTCAGCTACCTACACATCAAATTCAAGTACGTGAGAATCAGCATCGGCGTGTCTAAAAATTGCGCAAATAAATGCGATCGACATAATAAAGTAAAGGTGAGTTACTGTTAAGTTGATCGCAATGCATACCAACTCCACATCACCATGTACACACACTCGATGTCTACGTATATGAATTCTGTCTTTTTCTAACTCCCTCTCAGGCAAGAATAAGTGGAAGAAAAAGTCGCCTAATTGATGCTTCGTCTTTGTTTTAGTTAATTCCAACATGGTTCGGCCATTAAAATGTCCCACAGTATCGGCAAACCCGATCTCCGGTGCGAGATAAATGATGACACCCGCTCCAGGGGTACCATACTTACCACCACTTTCAACGCAAGACGTTCTTCTACCACTACACTAAGCCAACCGAGGCCATTCAAGTAAGTATAAGAGTTAGCTAGGTTCCCCAGTGATCCCAGCATCCTCCACTGGTACCACGTCTGTACCGCGTCAGTTCTTATCGATTCAATTCCATCGTCGATCTATCTTCTCTTCTGCTGTAAGATAATATAAACTTTAATTTGTTCATTTCCTAAAAGCTTACACTTGGCTGCTCTAAGATTTTAATTTATCAGTCATCAGCTAATGTTGAATATTTTAACATTTTTTGCTTTGAAAGGAAGAATGGCAAAATCAAAAAAATCGGCCCGTTAGATAATGGAGGTATATTACAAAGGTTCTACTTGAATCGGTCATACCATGCAGAAGCGTTGAAGCACTCAACCCAATGTGGCATTAATGGTCGGCAATGGCTACTAAAACACTCAAGTATTAATGTAAAACACATTTAGCTGATAAAGATATTGCCTTCTACATCGAGGCTCACACCCGAAAGCGCGAATCGGTAGAAGAGTATATCGTGTTCCTGTTCAACATTTCAGATATTGTTCTTGAAGAAGAATAACCTCACGCATAAATTTCATATACGATAAACTGTAGTAATACTAACAGTACATTATCCGCCAATTTATTTACACTTATTACCAATTTTTTTCATGCATTTTTACCTCAAGTTAACGATTAACATTAAACGGTTTATCGGTATAATTGATGAGCAATGAAGAACATTTATTGAGTGGTAAAGAACAAAGGTGAATGGCGATTGACTCTATAATAAACTGGTCAAAAAAGAAAAAAGGTATATATGTATGCTGCGTCGGCAAGTGAGGGTGTTCAATTAAATTAACACTTAACTCAAATTAACGAAGGTGCGAGGAGAGATTTGAGATGCATAATGAGCAGTCGAGTGACCCTTGGACACAATCGGGTTCCTGGTATGAGGTCCACATTGGCAGTCTTTGGGTGGTCTTAACTGCAGCTCCAATACTATTATAGTTTTCATCTCCATCAGTCGTTGCATTAAGCTTGTTAGTTTGCTCAAAAATCGATCGGTTAAAATTTTATTGTAATAACCCTGTTTAAAATACTCTAAACAATTATCAAGCATTGAATGTGATTTTTTAGAATTTGATTGAAGCCTTTGTAATCATGCAAAAAATTATATGCCTATTATTCTAACTATTTTAATTTAATATTTAAAAAGAAAAAAAAAATAATTCAGAAATTCCAACACATTATTAATTGACCTTTAAGTTGCTTTTAACTTGACTTAAAGACCAGTTCTTTCATTCCTTCCAGCCAAAACTTTACCTTTTCTCGAATATATCATAAAAATCAATTCCATGCACGATCTTAAACTAGCATCAATCATTTAAAAAGTTTATTCTCCTTTGTCGAATGATCAACCAATGCGAAACAATAATACAATACCTGTAGTAAGTTTTTTATAAGGAAAAAGTAACAATCATTCTTTCGTATGTGCATAATAGCATTATGCATTCAACAGTCACATCTCCAAAGTCATCAGGTGAAACATCCGATCGTGTGTCTCAGCGCTTTGTCTGGTTGAAACTACTAATACTCGTTGATGCAAGAAGAATACCTGCTAACAATAAGAAACAATACTTTCAAGTGTTAAAAAATATAAGGAGGTATTATACACATTTGAAAGACGTGTGTATGACTGTAATCGCGGACAGACACGTCAACAAAATCGGCACGTGGCACATGTCATCCTGTCACGTAACATTCAACAGATATTACAGCGTCATGATTGTGCAAGTACCACCCGATGATTGAAATTTGAAATGAATATAATATATCCTCCTATAGCGGTACACGTGATTCATGTCCCATTGGTCATTTAATTTAGACACCCACTTAGTTTAATAACGATACATTGGATAGTATTATTGTCAATTTAGATGATTATCATGCATACAAATATAAGATTTAAAATGTATAATAATATTATTCTCATGTTTCATTAACGACTATTTTTCCGTGTGGATATTAAATCTTATCCTGAGGAGAAGCGTTGAGTGATAACATGACAACACCTGCTTTGGTAGGTCTATTAATATCAAATTCCGTTTGAAAAGAGGATATATTAAAGAAAAAAACGAGAGAAAAAAGGTTGGTCGGGCGGTGAGAATGTCCTTGATTCATTCAGTCCCTTTTTATCTCGGAATTCATCCCGGAAAGAACGCGTGATTTCTCGGAAGACGAGGAGGAATTCGGTCTCGTTCTTACTCTCAGAGAGAGGCTAGATCACCACACTGAACGAGCTGAGAGAGACTGGAGTTGATAGTGTGGAACCGCGCGTTGAGGACGCTTCAATGGGCTCCATTCAGTGCCGAGTGCGATGTTATCGCTTCTTGCTTTCGAGACCGGGGATGTCCGTCTTGATTCCCCTAATTATTTTTCAACACGGTGGAACCCGTTAAGCCTACAGTCTTATCCACTAGCCTCTCCAATTAATGATTGTTATGAATATCCTCCTGTCATTCTTTAAACTTGACATTATTATTTCGTTGAATAATTTTATTATAAATTGAAAAATAGAAAAACAGAGATCGAAATTCATTTTGGTTGGAAATCAACTGATGAAAAACTATGACACATTTATGAGAGTTCAAAATTTTCGGTGATGCTAGAATAAACATCTCTTTTTTTCAAGTTTAAATTTTTAGTGGAAACACATCCAAACTCTCTGCACTAAAGCGAGTCTCTTGAATTTTTTATTTTAACAAATGTCCTGATTTTGCATCATCAGTTATTTAAACACAAACATCAGCTGGATCTAGAGCACGAATTTTATTAAGATTGTAGATCTCCTAGTTGGTTGTCAGATTTAATAGACACTAAAAGAAACTTTTATTAAAAATTATTCATGTTTTTGACTCTTCTCAAAATTCTCTGTACTTTTGGGTAATAAGTTGATGGTACTAATGATCATCTTATTAGTAAGCTTCATCAATTAACTTTGACCATATTATTTAATTTCAACTTTAACTTTGTCTCTAAAATTTATCATCAACCAAAAATTGTTTATCTCCATTGTTTTCATGATATGAATGTTAGTTTCATTTGAGATAGTCAATATTCAATTCTATCTGATAATAATCATGTTAACTTTAGTATTTTTGAACAACAGTTGAGTAGATAATAGTCAGGTAAAGTGAGTCCCTTTTCGACAAACCATGAAATTGAAGTGATTAAGTTTTTTATTGAATTTTTTACTGCCTTTTTAAAATAGTCCTGATCATGACAAATTAATTTTCTGTCGCATTAGAATTTGTAAACAAATCCAATGCTAAGATAAATGGTAGATATTTATAGTTATTGAATAGATATTAAAACTTGAGTATCCTTTAGTAAATCATTCCAAGTGAAACTGAAAGAAGATCTTGGATTAGTTATTTGTTTATAGAGATAAAGCTTTTAGAAAAACGTGCGGAAATGATTATTGGCGAGTATCAGCGTGTGCTACAACAGGAACGTTACGGTTGACCAGCTGAGATCTCTGCACTCTTGGCAATATGTATGGATATGTATTATATGGATATACCCCGAAGAGAAAGATTCAAGTGGGTCTTGGCGGGGGGTGGTGACAGCGGCTTGGTGACCGCGGGGGGTCAGCGTCGGAGGGAATCAGGAATTTAACCACGAATGGTCGTGCAACAGCGAGAGCCGTCACTTCGACCAAGCCTTGGCATTCATTACCTCCCGGTGTCCTGCGCCAACCAGTGCACTACCACTCATATCTTATTATATTAATATATTATTTACTCAAGTCGCGACGGTTTATAGTCGTGGAAGCCTCACTGCTCTTGAATAAGAATCGTTTCATGTCATATACACGAAGGAATATCTATGATTACTTTCATAATTCACTTTTGAAAAGACACCATCATCTTGCTATTGATATATCTCATCTCAGTATAATATGTCTATAAATAAAGACATTTTTCTGTTTTTATAAATACATCAAGTCTACTCGAGTATTTTTTTGGTTTTTTTTTTTTAATAAAAGTTATTCAGTTTTTAAAAATGTCCACGTAAAAAATTACTGGTAAGATAAACGTGATGATCGTTGGAAAAAATGGAAAACATGTTTTTATTTTTAAGAATACCTGATTTTTTACGGAGAAATTAAAAAAAAATAATTTAAATAATAAATTCTCATGATAAGCTTGACATTATACATTTAAAAAAAAATTATAATACTAAAATATTTTTTTGGAGTAGATTAGGTGTAATAAACACTCTAAAATAATTTCAGAGTAATTATTAAATAGGTGAATGAATACTATTGAAAACCTTAACTCTTGTTAAGTAAATGAGAGATTCTTTCCTTTTCATCAATCTTAATGAAGAATTTATTTAAAAAAATTCTTATTTCAAACTACACGGAGAAAATATTTACACTAACCGTGATTAAAAAATAACTAGTGGACTTTTTGAATAATAGAAATACAAATAATCCTGTTCAACAGTAAATTCTGAGTTATTGTAAGTAATTATTTTACCGAGATGCCTCGTAAGAATCAAATTTATTCAAAATTCACTATTAGATGAACACATTTTTATTTTTAAATTTCAAAACATACATTTGTTATTTTTGCGCTTACATTTAGTGAAAGAATTCTCTCTATGTAATAAATTTTTTAAAAATAAAGATAATTTATCCTCTTGAAAAACATAGAATTATTAAATATTGAACAAAATAGTTTTCAATTAGCTTTCAATAAACAAAAAAAAAAAAAAATGAAATTTAATAAAAAAATGTTTAAAAAGAGTTTTTGAAAAATTTTACCGAAGCCCTCTCGAACTTTACGATTTAAGTTTTAATAATGTTTTACTTTGGAAATCTGACTTTTGTTCATGTTTGTATAATAATATACACAATATACATTTTTTCTTTTTCATACTTTGAAACTTTTCCGTGGATATTTTTCCTTTTATCTCTTTGTATATTCAAATTTTTTGCATTATCAAAAGATGTATAATGTTAGCGACGAGATGTATCAGTATTTTCTTTTACACTGTTTCCTTTACCTTTTCTTATAAACCACCCCTGAAGTCTACGAACACGCACACAAACACGTCGTTGCAAAAGTTCTGAGTTTCCGTCGAGTCGTACAAACTGTGAGTAAAGTGAAACGTTCACTAGTGTACACCCCCAAGTTTAGCTAGGAGTTCAAAGCATGCAAACTGCTCCAAAGTTGTTGCATTCACTCTCACTTAAAGTCCAAAGTTATTAGGGTATTGTTAGATGTTATATTTCCTTATTTGTATTCCAATCAAAAATAAATAATCAGTGTTATCTTCGTCCACAGTCAATCTCTAATTAGAGCCAATAAATCCCCTAAAAGAAATAAATTGAAAACAAAGAGACCAAAATTCAATTAAGCAAGATAACAATGTCTAGATGATGACTATGACAATCTTGGAGAAATATTACAGGATAATTTCGAGGACAAACAAAGTCACTTGATGGACCAATCAGTCCAATTGAAAGCATAATCCGACTAATCGTGAGAGATTAGGATTTGTGAAATGTCTTCAAAATATGGGGTCAAATCAAATGTTGATCCTAGTAGAGTTGGAGATAAGAAAATAGGTGGCAGCACAATACTGCTGTTGAGTTGAATTAAACAGAAGAGATTAGGGTCTAGGGAGTGTAACCACAAGGTAGTGAAGCAAGGAAACTCGAGTATAATAAAAGGAGGACACAGTGTTGTTTTTTGAAAGACAAACAAGAGATTTAAAAAACGCGATAAAAGGCAAAAGAGGCGTTGCTTGGAGGCTTTCTTGTTTTTATTTCTTCATTGAGGTGGATAGCAAAGTGGGAAAGACTTGTCTAATGACTTTTTGAAAATAATGAAGCATGACTTGGTGGTAGGTGTCCCATGGGTCAGAGGCGTAACTTATTGCTGGGAAGCTGGGCGTTTTATCCATAGTAATAATAAAAAGATTCAAGTTGGAGGTGGTACTAATGAGACTACTAAGGCTGAGATGGAGAAGAGAGGAGAAAGAGAGTGTAAGGAGGAGAGAAGCACTGTGAAGATGGAGGAGGCTGTGCTATGGGACGAGGATCATCGGCGTGGATTGGTCCGCGAGCAAGAAAGCAAGGCGTTGTGGTTGGACGAAGCAGCCAACCTTGGTGGGTTTACTACTGACACTGTATGTAACGAGATGAAAAAAAAAGTCAATGGCAGACCAAGAGGTGGATGTGAATGATACTGGTAGTGTAGTAGGGTGAATTGTGAACGAGAAAAAGGACTAAACCACTGGAGAAACGAGAACTCGATGTTTCCGAAGCATCAACCATTCTTTCTTTTTCATTTTATCCCTTTTTTCTCTTGATCGAGTATCATAAAAGAATCCTAATGAGCTATTTTTACTCCAGTGTTTTTTGTAGATTTAAATCTACGAGAGATAAAAAAAACCAACTGATTGAATTACTTTTTCACTAATTTATCGATTCATAATTATAATATTTCATTTCATAAAATAATCATTCATTTTCCAATGGCTGTATTTTAGTTGTATTGAATTTCGATTTAATTTAATTTAAATAAAACTGCAATCAATATTTTATTTTTGATATTCATATAATTAAGCTGGCTATGGACGATAAAAATAATAAATGTCACTATTATATATATATATATGTACATATCTGAAGAAAGAACTGGAAAAAACATGAATAATTTAGAAATTTCAGTTCTATCACAATCTCCGACTTGATTGAGTCATTTTTCTTTTCATTTTATTTCACGTCGTTGAACAAAACTTAATTATAATAATCAGTAATATTTTTCTTGAATTGTATTCAATTATTATCTCTGTCCTTTTTATCAATTGAATTATCTTTTTTGTTTGATATATTATCTTTAAAAGTCCAGACACCACTCATGCCTCCATTTCTTCTTTCTTTGTATCGTCAATATATCTTCAGGAGTTTGATAAATTTACTTAAAAAAATCAGAGCTAAATATATCTCACATCATCGACAAGTCGATCGTTACCAATATATAAAGTGCCGCGGCTTCAATCTTTTGAAGATTATCTGATATCGACAAAAAAAATTCTTGAAACAATATTAGAAAAATATATCGATAAGTTACACAATTATTTTTTCAACTACATAACGAGGTTAAATCAATATTTAAGGGCCTTCAATGATTACAAACGCGTAAGCAGTAGAAAAAGTCGCGAATGGACAGACATAAAAGTTGTACAAATTTTCTTGTGGTTTATTTAATAGCTATAAAACAAAACATTTAGTTTGAAACTAAACTAAATTGTAATACAAATAAATGAATAAAGTGAGTCGAGAATAAAGGAAAAAATATGTTTCATTAAAGTACTTTAGAGTGATAAAAAAATATAGAATGCAACTTTGAGTAGTAAAACACGGTTTACTCGTTGACACTTGAATTCCCGAGGTTGTAAAAAGTACTATTTTTTATCTCAACATTGTTTACGATATTATAAACCTTAATGAAACATGAAGAGGAATAAAGAAATAGGGGTGGTGTGATGATGGTACTAATAAAAATAATATTTAAATCTGTATATAAAAGCGAGAAATATAAAAGATTAAATTGGAAGTTAAGAAATTCACCCTCGGTGGAAAAGAAAGAAAAAACCAAGTGTAGATACATAATAACAATAGTACAATATTGACTGAAGATTCTAAATAGGTACTTGCCCGACGAAATAAACCGACGAGTTGTCTCGAAACGATCAGGTTGCTACAGCATACAGCTACAAACACGGTTTTGCAACATATACTCACTCTCAGTTTATGTAGAGGTACAAGCACAAGCATTGGGGGAACCAATACGAGAGATTCGTTGGGGGAATGTGGCACACGGTTGTGTGCAAGCGCCACGGTTGTGTGTAGACCGCGGTGTTAACAAACGGTACACTAATGTTTCACATCTCGGCATGCTTCGCTGTGTGCCGTCGTTTTCCCCCCGACGATGTATTCCACAGCCGCGAGGGCAAGAGTGCCAAGTAGCGACTCGAGAACGTCGTCGAGCAAGTTGTGTGCATTGAATGGGTGATAGTGGGGAGTAGAATCGCGAGAGATGCCGACGGGTTTCGAATGTAGAAGAGGGGAGACAGCGGTGCGTTTGGCAGGAAGGCGGAGGACGTAGAGGCGGAGCGAGGTTTGTCCGCGCCCCTCAAGAGGGGAAAAAACCGTGGCTCTGAGCCTAACTAATACATTTAAACGTAATATACATGCAGGAAGGGAGAGAAAGAATCCTGGTAGGGGTTGTTGAATTATCGGAGTCTTTAACTTTGGTCTCTTCGTATCTCTATATACATGCTATACTTTCTCTTTGCTTTCCTCTTTGTCCCTCATCTTGTTCTCTTACCTCGTCAGTACATATACGTGGTTAGTTACTAGCATTCCTCAGGAGATGAAACGTGTCTACATAATACATTTCGTGAAGAAGCAATAACGCTTTTTCTTTTCTATTTATGTTTAACCTCAAAACGTGTGCTTCTATTTTACCACCAACTATCCATCTATAACTGTCTTAAAATATCTTTCTTTTATTGCAATAACTCCAATGGATATCCATTTAATTGATCCACTTAAATTTATTGCTTTGCTATTTTTGCTTTCAGATGAATCACCTGGAAAAATGTATCTTAGTTGAATCGTTTATTTTTAAATGGCTTTTCGTGTTTCATAAAAGTGTACACGAGACAAACAAGACAAATGACATGATTCTTGGATGATACAAATAGTATTAATCAATAATACATATTGCCGACCAATTATTGTTGTTATATTTAACGTATATCTCATGAGATAGTTAACAAGCTGTTATTTTAGTGGTGAAATGTATCAAGTAAATGATAGCTGTGTACATGAATGCTGGTGCAGCAGTGAAACGAATGTATTAATGTATCAGTATAAAGTATGGATATATGTGTGTGTATGTGTGTGTGAGTAAGAGAGAGTTAGGGGGGATGAAATTGATGGAAAGAATAAAGCGCGAATGATTGTGAGAAATCATGGATAGGAGGTGGCCATGTAGTCAAGTAGCGTGATGTGGGTGGAGAGCATTGTAGGCAGAGCGGTAGAGATAAGAGTGTCTTGGGGCAGAAAAGGAAGACTCGTAAGGTACAATGATGATGGTGGGGAATTGAATGTGGACGTAGTGTGTGGTTGTGTCAAAGAAGTATAAGCGGGGAAGGATGTGTCGATGGGAAAGGAGTTGCGCGGAACAGGAGATTCTAAAGGAATAGTAAGACGCGAGGGACAAGGATGAGGTAAAGAGAGAAGTAGAAGGAGAGCTTGAACAAACTACCGGAGAAGAAGTCAGCGGCAAGTAAGCAGCGCCGTCGAGGCTAAACTTTGGGATCTATTGAACTAAAATTGTCGTGTAGTTTTTCCCCTACCCCCATGTATCAAGTACCACGGATTCCCTCTCTCCAACGTGGTGGTGTCCCCACTACGAAACGAAAGTGAAACGAAGAGGGAAGAAAATGTGAACGGTGGGGGCGTGAAAGCTTGGTGGCAAAGCAACCGAGAGAGAGAACGAGTATACGTACTGTAGTAGTGTTCTGCACCCCGAAGAGTAGCAGCAGCTGAGAGGGGTAGGAAGTGAAGGAGGAAGCGAGCAACTCACCATATTTTATTGTCACGTTTGCTAACGCTAACCGCTGGCGTACGACTCCTCCGTGGGCCACGATCTACACCACCGTTGACTCAACTGCACACGACGACACACAGCGAAAACGCTAGAGGTGACACCTGGATATATAAAACCCCCAACAAAACCCCTCTACACTATTGTCCTCTTTATCCTTACTCAAAGTCGTGTCTCTGTCTAACTGGCACGCGGCGTGCCGAACTTTAGACCCTCCCATCGACGGGGAGGTAAACCATCTCGCAAAAATCAACGCTTTGTCCTTCCACCCCCTTTTCACTGCTTTCATATTTTTTTTATTTAGTTATCTATTGCCTTTTTTTTCATCCCTAATCTCCATCTCGTTGCTTCTCTCTCCATCACTTGCTGTCTGCCTAAACTCTGTCGCTCATTTTGAAAGAGGTGAGTGTCCACGAACACGCAGCACCACTTTTGCAACGGTTAGGATATACACATGTGTGTTAATAGTTGACAATGTGAGGTTGTATATTAGTGCGTGTGTTAATGTATTGTATATATGTGAGTACGTGTGTGGCAAAACGAGCCACTGGACTCACACGGAGCGACACCTCCGACGATTGCCGCGTACCGCCCCTCTTGACGCTTGGGGAAACGACTGAAAAAACGCCTGCCGCAGTAAAAGAGAGAAGGGCGCAAAGTGGAGGAGAGAGATATTGAAAGCAGGGGAGTGAGATAGAACAAGTGCTACCGCGTTACACGCCGCGCCGCGGTCGAACGCCTGCGTCTCTCTTCCAACTCGAAAGCCAGTTTGTACTTGGCGCCCTCCACGAGTCTACGGAGAACGCGCTGCTCCGTTCACTTAACGGGATTGACAATGAACCCGTTCATACTGCGCAACAACACATGTTTTACAAACTTGCAGAGGGACTTGCATTTTTAGTTAATCGTCAATTAATATCAGTGGACTTGTGCCAAAGTGCTTTTAAACTGAAGACAAAGATTAAATATCTTGACGAGTTTTTGTATATCCCGACGATCGTCCTCGAAAATCAACGGTAAAAAAAAAGAAGAAACAACAAAAAAAAAGAAAAAGCTAGTGTAACAATCTGATCAGCTTTTAGCTGTCATCATATCTGTGTGTCTCCTCATCTTCCGTTGAATCCTCAATCTTCCACCTACCTCTCTGCACCCTGCTCTTCAACTGTTCCAGGTTTCGCCGCCTCTTCCTTCCTCTCTATCCCCTTCCCTTGGCTCTCGTCACTTTGCCATCCTCTTTTCACGTCCAGTGGTCCAGGCGCGCCGCCTCTCTTGCTCCCTTGCTCTCTCCCACCTAATCCTATACTATCTTCGTCCTACTCCCGGCGGACCGGATTCCATCGAAAAGAAACGACGATTCGGCGAGGATAGTCGCGACCGATCATAGCTGGCGCGTCGATCGGATCAACGGACGGACAGCTTGTCTACTGCTTCAGTATTGGATTCTTACCTTTTCCTTCCACTTGCATTATTACTCTTCTGTGACCACTACTCGATGAGTTATCCTCTTGGTGGTTTGACATTTTCCAACTTAGGACAGTCGTAACAAGTAATCAAGTCAAGTGTCTGTTGTAAGAGTAGTGACAATTCTTATCTTCTAACATAAGAAAAGGATACTAAAGTGCAACTCTTACTTATCTCAACGACATCAGTTATTTATTTTAAAAAGAAAATCATTATTTAGTGACAGTGTTTATATTCATAAGTTTCATTAACCTGTGATATATTTGGATCTTTACACAATCATCATCATCATTTACAAAATATTTTATTGCTTTAACAATTGTTGGAAAAATTATTCAAACGTTTATTTTGACGTTTGGAAAAATTTCTTCTATGAAACTTGCAACATAAGCATTGATTTACGACCTGTCCACGTTGACGGTCGTACTTAAAAGCCTAGTGTCGTGTTAATTAAGTGATTTTTTCATACAAATGTGCAGTAGCAGGTGGCAGTGATCATGATGATCGCGTAGCGAATCACGACAATCACGGCCCTCAGTGGCCGACACATCATGTCACAGTTCTCTTATAAAGGATCACCAAATTTACAGGTAAAAAATAACAACAGACAGTTTGAAGAATATGCTAATCAGTTGAATAGGTTCATCTAGTTAACGACATTTGTAAAAATACTTTGTAATGATTAGTCATGATCACAAAAGACTTGATTAACCATTTGACTGCGGAAGAGTGCGATCGCACAAACGAAACGACGTCCGCAGTCAAGCGGTTAACATAATTTTATACATAGTTAATTTCCTATTAGCAAATGTAACAAACTAATTATAATTATAATCGTATTGACATGAATGCATGAGAATAGTTGGCGAGCGCGTGTAATAATTGAAACTTGCTCAACTCATTTACACGTGTAGTCAGGTCAATGATATAGATATAACACTACTAGTTTGAGAACGCTAGTTTTAGTTTAGACAATAGTATAATAGTTTCAGCATATAATAGATGGTTTTTCTCTTTTATTTGTGACGAATTTTTTTTTATGTTCAGCAGATTTTAGTGTAATGAATGAACTAGAGTAATAAGTTAGTAAAACAGAACAACATAACTCAGTGGATGTTAAAATAATAAATGAAAAAGTATTTTTTTTTATCTAATTACTTTACACAATTTAGATAGCAATTATATAATTAGTAGGAGTGTATTACCAGTATATTATCAGTTGTAATGACATGGAAAATCGTTAGACGTGAAAAATATGGTCTACATTAAATTACAAGAATATTCTTAGCCGCCTGTTGAACCCACACACCTATTGGCAACTCTCAGGGACAGAGATCACGTGTCCCTTATGCATGTTTTGTCCTTATATACACTCTAATGGCTTTATATACATTAGCATATAATTCATTAGACATACATATGTATTTTATAAGCTTGATTATAGCTATTTGTTTTCAGAGAGGTTTAAAAATTATACTGTAAATATAATCTTCAAATATCATCATGTCAATTAAGATAATTTTATTGGTTCTTGAATGAGTAGATTTGGTTATTTCGATTTTATATATTTTTAGTTAAGAGTACTTTACAGACAAGAAAATAATAATTATTTATAGATAAAATTAAAAGTCGATTGCTTTAAAACAGATTGATTTAATTAATTTTTCGAGTTGATGAATTTATTATTCAATTATATTATCAATTGATTATTCTTTACCATGATATTCTGTGCTCTTAGTGAACGGATTTGTTCGAAAATTTACAACATTCATATCCACTAATGTATTTATAAAACATGTGAATAAAATATGGAAAAAGTGTAATTGACCTTATCGGTGTCTGTGTGTGCACGAAAGCGTGGCGTTTTGTTGCAGGAGTTTCATTGACGTTTAGCGAAAAAACAAATTATGAATGAAACATTTTTGCAAGTTAGCAGTTTGTCGTTCTACTGCAGTGATACGATCTGGATAGTTAGCATTGCTTTTGCAGGCTGACTCGACGAGACTCGAATCCACTGTATGTCGCGGTGTGGTGCAGTTTGCTGACTCAGATCCGTCCTCACTTGCTAGCTCACTCGCTTACGCGCAAGCTCCATTTTCTTCTCTTCAGCTTTCTCACTCTACACCTCTTTGTTCATTTCCTTTTTTCATTTCTTTTACGATCTCTTGCTAAACACTTTGACTTGACTTTTATGTGTTAGCCTATGAAACGCACACGCATCATGACTATATAATGTTGCCTGTTGACAGTTCTTGGCATTTCCGCTACTCCAGTTTCACGCCTCGACAAAAGTTGCCTTTATCCAATATATATATAATATGTGTGCAGTCATGTCTGATAAATGTCCGATTATCTCATTGTAATAATACCTTATATACAAAGTAGCAGGTCTCTTCTTTATACTCTCTCGTCTCGAATGAAAGCAGGATTCTTCTAGGCGCACGTCATCTCGATGTTTCTGGGAATATAATTCACCGTCTTTCATCATGTAGCGCCAAACAAATGCCGGATGTAGGATTGTGTCGTGCTTTTGATAAGTTGATGACGATATGTCGTTGGTTGTAATCTTCTATCCGTGGAATTGAACATATCGGATGACACTCTATACACATATACATTATATATAAATACTCGTTTAATCAAATAACGTCTTAGTGAGTCTTGAGTATAACAGCATCCAACATTTTTATTCATGTTTATATTGTATACCTACAACCATATATGCATCCACCTTATCTCGTCACTTTTTAACTTTATTTCATTACTCAATATAGTAACAAATAAAAATTTTTCTCAATGGACCAACATACTGATTTTAAAATCATTTTTAAACACCACTTTGCATTCTAATGATTAATATAATATTTATTTTAAGACGTAAACAGTGATAAAAAAATTTATTCATTGAAATGATGAATGAAATTGAACAGACTAAATATATTTAGTATTACAGTAAGATAAAAAATTAAAACTTGAATGAAATTTTTTTTTATATCATATTTTATAATTAAACTATTGTACAATATTTAATTTATTGCCACAAAATAATTATTTTTAACGTAAAATTGATTTAAAAAACTTCCTCGAAAAATATTTAAATTGTTCTTTGTTGGTTATTTATTGTTATTCATTCATCAAAAATATCCCTTCCTGTTTTTCATTCACATTATATTGACAATTTTGTACAAATTGATTCGATACATTATTTACTGACAATCGTCTAGACTTTCGACTGCATCAATGCAAGAGATGTATAAGAACATAAATTCTGGAAAAAATATCGAAAAAATAAATAACTGAGTTAAATTAATAATTATTTAAAAATCGCGTATTCCTGCTGGTTAAGTGGCTTATTTTCGAAGAAATATTTCGTGCAGGTAAATATTGGTCCTCACTTTGACGGTTATCGGTGTGTAGAGAAGAAAGGTGAAAGTTGAAACGAGAGAAGAGAGGTTGTGTGTGTGTGTGGGGTGGTGAAAAGTCGAAATCTAGCTCATAACAGAGCGTGTAAGGGCGAAATGTGATGGCGTGTGGGAACATAAGTAAGTACCGCTCACGGCCTAAGCACACAAAACGGTCCATCAATCTGGCCGGGAGTCAATATTTGTTTGGCTGGGCCTCGTTGCAAAGAGGGCATTATCGGTATACATAAAAAGCGAGAAAGAGTGAGACCGGTCCCTTTTACCTTAGAGTTGCAGGACACGCGTGACAAATGTTCCGGCTGCAAACATTGCGGCGCATCTGTGTCTACAGGATAAGCCGCTTCGGAAATACATATTCTTTTTCCAATTTATAAATTGTAGTCATAATAGTTGCCGTTACAATTATAATACGATTAATGCTCGTGAGAGAAACGTTAGCTGTCACAGTGGTGTTGGTAAATATAGGCATTATTCATAATAAATACAATCAGGGGATTTTAATCTCGAGTTTGATTAAAATTCAACAAAGTTTTATTTGATTTTATTCCACATCGTAAGCTCTTAGTAGTCGATGTAAATTTGCAGTGTAGTATCACCTTATAATATTTATGCATGCAGTCTCATACTATATATATATACCAATGTTGGATTATATATTATTTTTACTTAACTCTCGCAAAGTCTTACGTGACGATAATCAAGGCCACATAAATCGTGCGTCATATTGATTACGTTAAAAGTCCTTTTGACATGCTGTTAACGAGATCGATATGAGCTTACTCAACTGAGTGAACCCAGCTTCGCGTTTGACTTGAAGGAAACTGCTGAACATAAACTCTGACAGGCGCTGATGCTTGTCGCGCACCACGCAGCTGCTCTTGACAACAGCACTTTGAATTTTATGCGACTCGCGAGTTAGGTTGTATGTTAAGGCTGATACGCGTGTGTGTTGATTGTATGCTTTACCATCTACACCACCTTCTCTCCTCCCCATCCTCCACTTCCTCTTCGTCGTCGTCGTCGTGGTATACGCATGCGATATATATGCAATTAGCAAGCATTTATTCAGTAACAAATAAAACAGCTAATTTGCGCAACTAATGCGGCAATACATTACGGACTTATGTGTTTCAATATTCACAACTTGTTGCAATATATACACATATAATTATTTTACCGTGATTACTGCACCGACAATATATGTTAAGTGATTTACAAAAATGCATCACTTAATCGACATATTCATGTCATTGAATATTTCAACGACTTGGCCTCTTTTTTTGATATTTGCTTTTCCTCTCTGGTATACACGTACCCCACGTATCTTTCGGTAGATCATGCGTGTATCTGCTTCAGCTCATTCATATAACTGTATAAGGTACATATATACTCGCTCAATCGGCGACTACCATCAGTCCTTTAGATCTTGTATACGGCAGCGTGAAGTGTCCGCATTTTTTCACCTTTCTCGACTTCACCAGATCTTGTTATATACCCAAGTCGAATAAGCTGCTGCAGCAAACACCAACCGAGTGAGAAGTAGTGTAGGAAAGAGAGATTCACGCGGGAGCAGAAATCGCACATCGGCAATACAAGTGAGAAATACAGTTGTATGAGTTGGTGCCGCGCGATCGTCGGTTAAAACCGACGACAAGAGCCACACGATGCGATCGTGAGGTGTAACTCAGCTGGCTACCGCCGCGGTCCTTGAATTATGGCCTTCAGGTCATACGAAACACGCTTCGTCGTTTAACCTCACCGTCTACGGGATTCCAAGAGGTATATTCGAGCGATTGCAACTCCAAAGAATTCGTTGCGACTCTCACTCACCTGTGCTTCTAATGTTCTTCGTATTTTACACCTACCCACAGTACATTCGCACTAACTTATTATGTTTTTTTCGCTTTTTTACCCTTATTGCCTCCAAAGTACCAACATTTTTTTGCTCTTTCCCACAATCATCCTCTCGTATCTCGTTCGATATGTTGTACGATACACTGCCGAGAAAAAATGCAGTAGTACACTCTCGACAAAATTATTTCCTTTACGTCCAATGTAATCCCCGTTCTTTTATCTAAATAATTCTCTACCAATTCCCTCATTCTTTTTGTTTATTTAGTATAACAATAGACATTATTTAACAAAAATAGTGAGAAAGATAAGCTAGTTATAGAATTTTTATAAAACCAAAAACACTCGATGCAATTTTTTCAAAAACTGGTAAAAAAAATATAATAGAACCAGGTGTGTGTTAAATGTGATGCATCGTTCCACAAAATTGAACTTTTCTTATTTGTCCTCATATATTTTCTCAGTCACTTCCCTTTACCCAAAACTATTTGATGAACTCAAATGTTTGTATAGAAATATTTACCAATCTATTTTCTGTTGAATTTTTTCAGTGTCCCGTGACAGTAAGTGCGGCTCTAGCATCATCATCACCATCACCAGCTTCAGTATCAATTTTGAACGTAAGCTCCGCATCAGCAGCAGGAGGTGGCGACACCCACCCCCTGGGGACAGCACTTTCCAGCACGAGAATGGCAGTGACGAGTGCAATTATCAGACCACCAGGAAGTCCAACAACTTCGGTTAGTCCATCTCAGCCACATGCACCGCCAGCGACGGCAGGCGCTGGCCCGCCTGGAAGTGGCCGATGTTGCGACACTGGAAGACCCATCTTCACCGATCCTGTCACTGGCCAGTCCATTTGCTCGTGTCAGTACGAGTTGTTAGGAGCTGGCTATCAAAGACTTGGAGGCATCGCACCAGCAGCATTATCGATGTATAGCGCACCTTACGCTGCTGCTGCTGCAGCAGCTGTTGCCTCCGAGGGTATGGCGGCTGCTTATTTTCCTACTCTTGGAGCTGAACAGACGCCTTTTTATTCTCCCACGGTACGTCTTTTACACGTGTATTCAAGTAATACCTCACATGAGAGCCATTATCCATGTTATTACGTGAAATCTCTCAACCTCTTGACGTGAAAAATAGTGTTCGAACAAATAATTGATTGTGACGTCTAATATTCATCATTATAATCCTGCACTGTTATACAACAGTCATCAACCAGAGATATCGTCGACAATACTAAATGAGCTTTCATATAAAACAACGGATTGTCGTTATATTCCGAGGTTATCGGACCACACAGAGAGGACTAAGGATATATTGACAGACTTGATGTATAATCAAACACTAGCAATTATATTCTACTTTGGAAAAATATTCATTTTATGTGACGATTCATGCATTGCTAAAATAGTCCTCATTTATTGATAATCAAATCTTAATAGATTTTAATATTTTTCTCTTTCATTTTATATGTTTAATTAAAAATTTATTTCATTTACCAAGTTGATAGTAAAACTAGAAAATATTTTATTCAAACTGATGATCGTAGTGTGGTAAATATTTCGATTGGTTTGTATTCATACCTTCGTTTTATTATTCACTTGAGTTTCATACTGATCGATACGTATCAATCTTATTTTTCGAGACACGATGATCGATTAGTCGTCTTTACCAGGTGGTACGTTTTTTGTCATCATTGGAAAAAAATATAAACGTTGGATCAAGTTAGGTAGTCGATAGGTTTCGAGAGCTCTACTTGTTTATATCCGTAACTGATGAAATAATATTTTTACAAGCATGAAAAATTAACATTTAGCCAAATTCTCAAGAACATCTGGAAGTGATTGGATTTTTTGTCATTTTTTAGGCCGCAGGACTGGATTTAAAGGAAAATTTGAGCGCGGGTGCAACACCAGGATGGCCATATCCTGCAGTTTATCATCCTTATGATGCAGCTTTTGCCAGTTATCCATTCAACGGGTGAGTTATTTGCATTCCCATTCTCGAAAAAATTATTTTATAGAAATTCTATACATAGAATATTACTTATTCATTATTTGTAGATTTTTATAACATAATTATTAATAATTTACAACGCATTTCATGAATTTTTATTAATCAAAAAATGTTGAAGAGTAGAGAATATTATGCTTAATCCATAAAATTTTCTTCCCGTAATTTTTAACAAAGAAATTCTTCGATAAATTGATTATTTAAAATAACTGTTCATAGAAAATGAATAAAAATTTTTAAAGAATAAATTATAAAAGACATGCTGGAATATATTTGAGTTAGAAGTAAAGAATGTCTATGAGAAATTAGTAGCATTAATATTCTCTACTGTGCTAGAATAGTTAGTTACATTAATGATTAATTTAGTATGCAGACTGAGAATATGATGTCGTTGACTGTGTTTAACTGTGCTCACCATCTATATATTATTATAATAGTTGACGACAAAACGACACCCAGCACACGGTTGTCGGATCTTATCTCTGTTTATCGACCATTCAGGTCAAAGATCAAAATTATCCGTCTAACAGAATATCGAATACATACACACTCTTACATATTACTTTTTAAGCACTGACTTATATTAAATATAGAGTAAGATTTATTGTTGTTGTTTTTGTTTTGTTTTTATTAATATATTGACGTCCTTGATGACTGGACCAACTAAGAAATATACCTTTAAATAAGTTGTACTTATTTATATAATAATGAATTATTTTATTTCCCTTTTTTTTTTTCTCTTTCTTCTTATTCATTTTCTTAATTTTTTTATATCGAGCCAAATGTCACGATAAGATTGATGAGTTAACACATAAACATTGTAATAAATTAGCGCTCATTTGACCCGCGATTGTCTCACATCAACAATTTTGACGCATTTAAATCGAGAAAGCTGTAATGCGCGTGTCACAATATCATGGGGACTGGTAAAAGGTCGTTGTGATAAATCAATTTGGTCATTTGGAAGATTAAAAACATCCATGAATAGTTTTAGAGTAGACTACTAAATGATTTGATAATTTGTACTCACTTATTTAACATGAAAAAATGTTGGTTGCCATTTTTACTATTTTTTGTTATTTTATTTTCCATTTCAATTTAATTTTATTCAACAAGAAAATGATGTCATATTATTATAAATTCATAAAATACCTTATTCTCTTGTCATAATAACAGTCAATCTTATTCTAAAGATAGTGATTTGTAAAAATTTTTTAAAATAAATGAACTAAAATTAGTATATTTCAGTAGATATTTATTCGTTGATAATATTGAGTGTATTACGAATACTTGTCAGTAGTGTACACTAATTAAAACTAAATTATTATTACTTTTAAATAAAAAAATGTTTTTTCATGCAGAGAAATAATTTTTGTTATTTAAATAATAGAGTTTCAACATCCATACAATCAACGTAAACATTGTTGTTTTTATTATGATATCCAGATTTTTTGAAAAATAAATCATTGATGCTGCAATATTGCTGTTTTAAAATTTTTCTTATGTTCATTCATTAAAAAATATTATGTAGAATAAAATTAATTTTGTTATTAAATTGCAATATTTCTTTAATTAAATAATATCATAGATGAACTAATTAAATAACAATAACTGTATTATGACACTAGAATAAATTATATTTATTTCAATAATTAATGTTAGATTTCAATTTTTAAACTATATCTTCTCTTCTAATTAAGTTTATTTATGAATATTTAATTTAACAATAATGCTTATATTATTTTGAAAAAAATTATTTACATTAGATAAATGTAACTATTTTCGATTTTGTACGTAGAAAAATTTGTTAAATAAATTTAATAATAGATTAAATGAAAAAAAGTAAATATAAAATTGAATTTTTTCATAAATATGTCATATCCACCTGATATGAATAGAAAATAGAATACAATATTGCATCACATTTGTAAGTGAATCATTGGCATCGACTTCAAACAAAAATGTATATTTAAATAGTTGAAATGCAATTAGCAATAATGCACCGTCAATGTAAGTGCATTGTACTTGTAAACCATTGAAGAAAACAAGTCACCGTCGGCGCGTGAATGCCAGTAGGCAGTTAAATCGAATGGATGCTAAGCAAGCTGTAGTACCTGATCGTTTCCTTGCATTTAAAACAGCAAAGCCGGAAGTGCGTCATATTTCCCCTCGTCATTTATTACATTAAAGTGAAATTTCGACCATCAATAGAAGTATTGCTTGATCATAAACTTCGTGTTGTGATTGCCTATCATCACACTCTTTACCTTAACCAAACGATGATGTGGCAGCCAGCCGGCTGAGACGTGACTCCAAACTACACACTCTGTGCATAGGATACGTGATCTAACTAACAAACGAGCCAAGTACCCAAAATAATTCCAACCCAGTCGTTTTATTTTTCCCTCAATGCTTCCTTTATTTCGTCTTTTACTCTACTTTTTCATTATCATCATTATAATGATTATTTATTCCTTATCAACTCATCAATAAAAATGATAATCATAGCTAATAATTATATTATAACGGTTAAAAATAATTATCAGATATAATAACTAGTTAAATAATCTTGCAAACTGATAATTGGAGCGATGAGAATTGATGGATGTTATATACAAGTATGTCTATATTCATTTAATGAGAACATAAATTACTTGTTAAGTATCGAAAAGAAAAGGAGCAAGAAAAAAAAGTATAGTCGTTGCTTTATCACAGTGGACTTTTGCAAATTGAGAACACTGTGGTATTAACGATTACGTGAGTTGAATATAATTATCATAATGTATTCCTCGTGTTTCCGTTGATTTTACAATGTCTTTTGGACTTTTCGTACACGCAATATATCGTCCATAGAAGAGCACCTCATTACGTAAATCCGTGACTCGTGGTTCTTATTTCAAATTATAAGATTAATGTGAGCAACAGACGTTGTCGAGATCGGTTCTTCATAACTATACAACCATACCTAGAAGCTAATAATGCAACTTATGCTGGCATGCACTAGTGACGCGAGGTCGAGATCGCGCCGGGTCAACGATCCCGTCTTTCCGCCGGATTGGCCCTGCTTCCGGGGACATGTAGGGTAGACAATAAGAAAGGCACGAACGACTCGTTAATGTATCGCAATGCACGTGCTCATTGTTTTGTAGCTTGTAGTCACATCGCGAATTTAAACGCGACGATTCTAGCCTTGACCAAATCTATCATCCATGTAGTTACGTTTAAATTGTCTACTTAAATGTCAACGTCAAATATTATTCATATTCTACAAACACGTCCCAAGGGGTCGCAACCAAACTATCATTTATCAATCATCATAAGACTAATGATGGACAACAAGTCATCGATGTGTGTTGCCAGCCTAAAGGTGTATTTGTCTGCTAGACCTATTGTTAGAAAACACTCGTAGCTGTACATATACGTGTTCGACAGTCACTGTCATTTGCATCCCGAGTGTTTTCCGATATTTCACGGCAATTGTCTCTGCACGCGCCGTCTCTCGTCCCTCCTCGAAATGTATCGCCCACGGCTCCACGCTTTAACTGACGTGTATACCTAGACTGTGTTTGCATGCACAACCCTTGCGTGGCTTACGATGTATCAAGCAAAAAGCATCCTTTACACTCCGGTCATTAAATCGCCGTACATCATCGGTGGTCGAGAGGCGCGAGACACGCGTTCGTTACACTACACGCTCCTCGTTAGTGTTCTCTGTACGGCGAATTGTATTTTTGTATACACATCTCCAAGCGGAACTTGACAAAAATAAGATTGATATGGATATGTCACTTACTTACTTACTCCGTTTTCAAGTACTTTAGTCAATTTTACCAACTATTTATGGATTACATCAATAATTTGCATCTTTTTCTATTCTAAATTTATTTGATGGGTCACAAAAAATTAACATTCCACTTTTTTCTTATAAAACTCATTATTTTACTCTTGAATTACATTTTATTTTCCATATTCATTATAATATAGTATTTCATTAACCAACAATATCAATGTTCAATTTAATGAAACACGACAATAAATGATGCATTGAAAGAAATTGATTCCATTTACAATGCTATTTGAAAATAAAATATAATTGGTATCATTTCAATATTTATTTTTCTCTAATTCTTGCAATTTCTTTATCTATTTCAATTCCGTTTGCTCATTTGAATACATATTTATTACATTTATTACAATAGAAGTAAATAATAATATATTGTTATTAATAATTTTTTTTTTGATAAAAAAATGTACTATGAATTATTTTAATGTGATTAATTTCTAAAATTCATTGGCTGGTTGATAATAAAGTATTCTTGGCTGACGAGTTGGTGGATATATATTATTTTTTAAAGCTGTCAGCTAGAATTAACTAGAGAAACAGTATATCTGCAGAGTTATAGAACACCTCTAGATTGTATAAAGAAGTGAAACTGAGTAGTACGTGTTATGTGAACATAAGAGAAAAATAAGAAAATTACATATTTATAGGGTGGAGATGAATTACAAGTATGTAAGAATATAATAAGAGAAAAATAGTTGTATGGATAAGAGAAGGGATCAAATACTCATGTCGTGGTACAATATACACATTGAAAAAATCCTTTAAAGAGGTGAATATATGTATGTGTAACCCCACTGGTGTACTGTCACTGAAGCAGTTGCACGTTAACTTAGTAACGAAGGGGCGGAGTCTTGTAACAAGCACACCTGTCTGCACGCATTGTAAAAATGTTAAGTTCAAAGTAGTTTTATGTACATACACGTGAAGTGGGTATGGCGTAAATACAATAACAATTGTATGTATCAAATAAAAATGAGAAAGTAATAATTGGTAATTTGAGTGTTCAACAGACAAAGTGGTGATTTTACAATGAAATGACTAGTATTATTGAAGGTTGAGGTCAATAAAAGACGTGGTCACAATCAATGACTACCTATACAGGTCATTCACTGTACGTAACGGATGCAAAACCCGTTCACGCGGGCGGGCTGACTTGCCAACGAGAGGGTGGAGAGAGAAAAAGGGGTGGGTGCAGGAGGGACGGCCTCGAGCACGGCCCGATTAGCAATCGCCATGGAAACAAGCAGTTGATGCGATCGCTTCGCGCATGAGAGGAAAGGGTTGTGATATTTGAGTCGCATATATATATATATATATATATATATATATATATATACATATACATGCATTATATACATATGGAGGAGCCCTGTGAACCTCCAGCACATCCCCCGCATGCGTTTTACCTCTAGACTGAAAATAATTCACTCACCCGCTCACTTGGCGTGTAGTTGCCTTCTCTCTTCATGTTGGGAACTGTCGTCGAATTCACAGCAAGCAGAGGACGCGTCCTAGCTCTCGTGGCTTATGGAGAATCGACGGAGAAGGGAAATTCAAAGCGAAAGCATCAGCAACCCGTCGACGTAGTCCGGACTGTTATCATGAGAAACAAGCTTCCACTCTGATTTTTTAATCCGCCACCCCCATACCACAGCTGAATTTTAAAATAACTGCAGAACGCCATTTGCCACTCGCAAACAGACCGACTGAGGGGAAAGCGGTTAAGCCTCAGTCTCTCTCCTCTATTTCTCGCATATATTCTGCGCGCTCTTTCTCTCCCTTGATGCTTTTCACTCGCTTACTTTATTCCACCTCTCTTTTTTCATTTGTTTTGCTTTCTCTCACTGCCTCACTTCATCCCTGTCTACTGCTGGTCTCTGAAGTATCTACACAAGAAATATGTATATCTGCCTTATTCTCTCTTGAGTTTATCATTCTTATTCATCTTTATCCTACACACAATCCAAATACTTCGTCTCTGTATTAATATATATACTATGTACTTCCGCACAAGAACGACCTGTATACGTAAATGCAAAGTAGAAATTTGTGTGAAAGGTTGACTGTCGAAAATATAAGAAGAGCTGTATAGAGGGTCCTTTTCGCTTGTTGTCATTCTGATTTCATCCATGCCAACAGTAGCGTTGAGACCGTTATTCCCCGTCTCGGGGGTTGGCATGGATAAGTGACAGTTTTATTAATTCCCCATCCCTTATTGTCTGCACTCGTTCACATCTTTTTTCTTCTTGCTGTGTACATATATATATATATATATATGCCTGAAAATGAAAAATAAACTTTCGATAATAAAAAAAAAAAGTCCCAGAGACATTCTCATCTAATGACATTTCGATCAAAATTGCGAAAAATTTTATCAAGAAAGGTATTTAGTTGTGACTAGACTTTAATTAGCTCATCTGATAATGAAAGCTTAAACTTTATTTTATTCCATTAATTGTAGTTTTGAAGAAAAAAAAATTTATTTCTGCTTTGTTATCATGTAATCACATAATTGTTGGTATTAATTAAACTGCAACAGTTTCATTTTAATTATTTCAAATTGCTCTTTTCTTTTCATCTCTACTTGATAAAATCTCACAAAACTTTGAAAATTTTAACTTGAAAAAAATTATTTTTGCATCATCTTAATTACAATAAACTTAATCTTCATGAAACGATGTCTATATAATAAACTTGCCAGAAAATAAAGATAACAAAAAAATGGTGAATTCATTTGGCTCGGTACTCGTCTAACTCTGTGCTTGCAGTAGTGGGAAATTTAATTTCGATTCTGTCGATTCAGCAGTCATGCCAAAGTTTAATCTCTGATAAGGGTTTAGTTTTTTAGTAATGGGATCTTGGAGGGTCGCATGTTCAAGTTAGACTTTACCCTTCGCGCATCTTTGCGTCTGAGGGTTCAAGGAATGAGAGAAAAGAGGAGGACAAGGGAAAGCAGGAGAGTAGATAGAGGTAAGATGAGTTGAGATGGTTCGCAGAAGCCACGAGTTAAGGGTCAAGAAGGACAGAAAAAGGTTAAATTGTCAGATAAAGATCTTCGTCGCAAAGAAGGTATACCATCCACCGCTCCTTTGGTTTTTTTTCTCGTCTTTTAACATTGGAATTTGGATTTTTTTCTTGTTTTTACCTTATCGACATTACGTACCCAGGATTGAATAAGTTTTTCCTTGGCCATATTACTAGGTTTTCTTGTTATGTGATTCATAGCAATGCTATTTTTCATGGACGATGTTAGGTAAATAGAATCATTTACAGACTAAAAAAATTTGTATTGAATAATGTTACTATAAAGGAAATTTATTTATTTCATGATTTTTATCATTAAATATTATACTCTATGAATATAATAAATTTTTTGTTATAGTTATGGAATGGATCTAAATGGCGCTAGACGGAAAAATGCTACTCGTGAGACAACAAGTACTCTCAAAGCTTGGTTAAATGAGCACAAAAAAAATCCCTACCCCACCAAAGGCGAAAAAATCATGTTAGCAATCATAACCAAGATGACCCTAACTCAAGTATCAACGTGGTTTGCTAACGCACGAAGAAGACTAAAAAAAGAGAACAAAATGACGTGGGAGCCACGAAATAGGGTGGAAGATGAAGATAATAATAACGACGATGATGATAGTGGAAGAAAAAGTGTCGATGAGAAAGACCGATTAGGTAATTTTTATTCTAACAAAAATAATTCCATTTATTTTACCTTCATTAAACTGTAGAAAGTTTTATTAAAGAATTTTGTTGTTTTTTTCTTCCAAATTTCAGACTCCAAAGATTCAGGAACGGGTTCGAGTGAAGATGGAGAACGTCCAGCGAATCGCTTAGATCTTTTGCATGATTCTAGTGGTGCTACAGGAGGTCTTCAGTGGAGTGAGTCTCGAGCAGACAGTGGTCCTGATAGTCCTGAATGTCTTTATGACCAACGAGAACCACCAGCGAGGCATCAATTGCAACTACAACATCCCGCGTACTTAGCATCAGCTCATGGTCGTCTTTTACGCCATCCCTCGCCCGAAAGTACATCGCCGAGCGGTGTTGGTAGTGGAACGACAGTCCATTTACCAACCTCAACGAGTACTTCAACAACGAGTAGTGTTAGCGAAAATGCCAAACCTAGAATTTGGTCTTTAGCAGATATGGCAAGTAAAGATGGGGAGCAACCGAGTGCTAATGCTACAATAACTGGATTATCATCACCTTATCAAGCAACAACTGGAGGAGGAAAAATTGTTAGTCCATTAGCCAATAGATTTCCTTCTCATCATCATATTCATCCTGCAATGCACTCTAGCTCTCAATATGTCAGGCCTCATCCAGACTTCTACAGAAATTTTTATGGAGCTGCATCACAGCTGGGATCTGGTGACATGGCCTTTTTGGAAACATATTCAAGAACACTTGGAGGTCTTGGGGGTGTTATGCCACCTGCCAGCGTTCCAGGTATGTTAACAACAGCTTCACCTTCGGTCTCTTCAGCATCGAGCAAACCATTTCCTCTGAATGGCTCCAATTCAGGTCCACCTGTCATATTGACAGCTTCATCAGAGGTTTCACCATCAGCATCATCAACTGCTTCTTCCGGTGGTTCTGATCAACGATCTCCTCACCCCAGTGACGGTAATCATCCGCCATCAGAGCTTAAATCCCCTGGTCGAGTGTGATTTCATTAAAAGCCGCGTCGTGTATAAAAACAAAATTACTTAAAAAGATTGAAACTCAACGACGTATACTTGTGGCTGACAATAACAGACTTTAAAAGTCTTGTAATTAGTGTACAGTTCTAATAATTTCCCAAACAGATACGTAATGCCTTTCCTCTCCTGGCCCCCTTTCCTTTAAATTACACTGACACTCGAATAATAAACAAAACAACAAGAAAACATAACAATGAAATAACATTAAAGAAAGTTTGTAATTTATTTTTCTTTCTTGCGTTATAAGCTTTCGGCAATAGTGGACAAATAATTCTCGACTGACTTGATTATATCCGATATTATCAGACTCAAGTGAACTGAAAGGAGACAACACAGTATATGAAATAAAACTGATTTGATCATAGGTATAAATATCACATGAACATATTGATAATAGAGTAATGATTAATATTATTATTTATGTATTTGTACATAGTAGTTGAGGGATTGATTTAATGCCCAGCCAAAAAGTGTATGTATTGTATGTAGAGTAGATGTGTATTATTAATATTATTATGATTATGATTATTATGATTATAATTATTATTATGAATTAATTAATTATTATTTTTATTATTATGAATTATTATTATTATTATTAATTAATTATTATTATTATTAACAAACTAAATCGTAATACGTGAAAATTGCGATTATTACAACGGAGATAATAATTATATGAATTATTATAATTCTTACTATTGTTATTGCAATGTTAAATATGATTATTGGCGTCGACGATGTTCTAGAGTATATTTAATCGGCTTCAAGCAAGCTGTAAGTGCAAATATTAATGACGTGATTGCGATTAACAATGAGATAATATTTGAAAGGTTATTAATTAAAATCATTTGGCTCACAAATCATATTTATTATTTAGATAAATTACTATCAAGAGTGAATGGAGAAAAATGTTAGGATAAAAATACCAAACTCGTTTGATGTGTGAAATTTTAATTGTATACTTGTATTTGTCAAAACGAAAACAAAGCGTCATCAACAATGTTGCACTTATGTCAATAACGATCATGACTTAGCTGAAGTTGTAACGAAGGTGAAACAAAAAAATATATTAAAAAGATAATAAATAAAAGGACTGCGCCTACATATCACGTCGCGTCGTGTTGAAACGATTGCCATCATCTTTCTTAGTCATTTGTGTCCAAAATATCGCGCGTCCAGATGCATACGCTCCAAATACCACATTGGTATATCGATTGAGAGTGAATAACCTGCGCCCTTTCGCAATAAATGAATGATTATGAAAAAATATATAACGATTTTGCTGAGTTATCTTTATTACCCTCAACAACTTCAACGCTTGACTTGAGCTTTAAGTAAATTAAATATTGATCAGTTAGTAAGTAACCAAATGAACAAGTAAGTAAGTAAGTAGTTGTATATTTTTATGATTACGTTCTTATAGACTATATATGAATATAAAATGTTGCTTCGTGGAAGTTCTTAGGCGGATGTGTACTTATAAAAATGCAAAGCAACCAACTTCTGGGTGGTTGCGAGGCAAGTCTGGTTATTAGTAAACATTTAAATCGACAATCGCTAGAGGTACGTTCCGGCGAAACAGAGGGAATGCGGGCCTTTCTTATTTTCTCTTCTTCTACTACATATGTCTTTCTCATTCTGCCAAGCATCTTATTCTCCCTTGCTCCAAGCACGGCTGTGCAGAGAGAGCAATGGGAGCTACTGCGTGGAGAACAGCACGGAGTGGAAACAAGAAATCAAGCCCCGGGACCACCCGCCACGGCCTTGGGACCACAAAGCCGCGGATCTCGAGGAGGTCCCTTGCGTCTTCATGAATCAAGCTTCTCTTGAATCGGCATAAACTTCTAAAGGTGGAATCACTTGATCGGCTTCATCTAACTCATGCTCCACAACTCTTTCGTTATTGAACCTTCATTCAAATTAGACTTTAATATTTAAATTTACTATCTATATTTATTTGTTTCTTTATTAAACTCCTGCACTTTAGGATATATAAATGTTATATATTTTGCTAGGAATATATTTCATTCGACACGATGATTTCACTCAAAGTCTTTTGACATCAAAGCGAAAACCATTGCCGGACGTCCGGTCTCTTCTCTTGCACGTGCAAACAGCCAGTTCGAAGAGTTTAAATAAAAAACATTGGTAATATTATCAATAGATAAGTAAACAAGGGCAAAGTAATTTAAGTAAACCAACAGGATTCATGAATTCATTTTGATTGCTTGTTGAGTGACAACTATACGACGACATAAGAGACCACCAACCAAAGTACATCGAGAAAGAGAGACAGTTCATAATTTACCCTCGCTTCTAATTGGCAAAAATTTTCATGCCAGCAATATCACATCTGTCAAAGCAGTTGTGCTTTCGTTATATAATCAACTGACAGAGTAACGAAAATAGATTTTCTTTTTTAACCAAGTCTTTTTTTTTTCTTATCGATCACTTTAAAAATATCTTATTATTTCTGTCTTCAACTATAAATGAGTCTTTATTTATTTATTTTTTCACGTGAATTATGCAAATTACAGCTAATAAGGACGTTGAAATTTCCAACGGAACTGAAAGTACAATGACATGCCAAAATATTTCTGAATGAAGTGCAGTAGAAAGTCGCGAGAAGCAGCGGTGACACGCGCGATCACTAATTATATCAACGACTTGTGTATTTACCTTCCGAGAAAGCTATGTGCTAGCATTTCTTTGATTTATTATAGTACGTCAAGACATTCAAACTCGCTTATGCTGGAAGAGATTCATTGGTAGGCTAAGTATTGAGTTGAATGAGGGATCAGTACTGCGAAAAAGTGTATTTAATTAAACAGCACGATTCGATGAGTTGAATGTGTAAGATATATACAGGGTGAGTCAGAATAATCTTTATAATTGTCAGTTTGTTGGGCTGTCAATAGTTATCGTCTCAAAAAGGTAATCAACTTGAATCTCCAATTTTTTTAATTCTTTTAAATATTTTTTTTTATTGTGAAATATTATTTTTAGCAATTTAATTATATCAAAAACACTTTAGGGATTTTAGACTGAAAAAAAATCTGTCAAATTTTTAAATAAAATGGAGACAGATATAAAATATCTTTAATTTTCTTTTTTTGTCGATTCTGACATTTTTTATTGATCACTAAAAAATATACATGAAGACTTTTTTATTGCTTTCATCACTCCAGTAAAATAAATTGAATCGTCGTGTTATTGTAGACTGTCATGATATATATTGTAATCACATGAAAAAAAACCTGAAAAGTAATCATGAGAAATGGCAAAAAAATTATTCAATCCATCAATACAATTGTTATATTTTCTTGAAATATTAAGAATAATTCTCAAGATGGAATACATTAAAAGAAAAAGATAAAATAAAATTTCTGAATCAATGAAGATATTTTTTTATGTAGCAATACAAAAAGCTAAATAGTTCGATAATATTTATTGTGAATCTAAAAGTTATAATATTTGTTGTGGAGAGGTTATTTCTGATCACCCTGTATATATATATATATAGCAAAGGGTAAGGGTGGCTCGAGAAGACTAGTGAATGGATTGCGGGCAAAAAGTTTACCAGCTTGACGTGTGGACAGGGTAATCTTAGCAAGGCCAATGCGGATGACGAATCAATCTCCGGAGACGGTCATCTGAATCCACATGATCTTTAGATGGAATTATATGTACACTCTATAAACGAAACATATATAAATAAAATTTATGAAAAGACTAAGAGAGATTTAGTAAAACGTACGTCATAGCAGTGTCAGGCGTGAAGCGTCAAAGTGGATTTATGATATTTTTCCACCCAAGTGTCGCGTAAACCCCCTCCTCTCTTCAAGGCCTCTCTAGTTGGCGTTTTCGTAAGCGAAAGACGCGCCGACGTATGCTTCGCTAACTCTTTGATGTTTGCCATCACAAGGTAATGCACATGATGCATAACCTCTTCCAACGAAGCACATCTACTATCTTGCTTCTTTTCATTCACGTCTTTCCAAGTTAATAACGCCTTTAAACAAATCGTCGCGCTCTTTTGATCATGTCCCGATGCAATCGATCAAAACCAACTTCCAGAATCTACTTTTATCCATGTATATATAGGGGAAATCAGACTGGAACGGATTATCTAGGGTAAGATGACCCCTCTACAAAGTTTTTTTCATCAGAAAGACGTGCAATGCATTCCTAAAATTGTTTTTGATGATTTAGCCTATTCATATAACACTTGAATATTTTTTTATTCTCATGGTATTGATCTAGTTTCATTGAAGTATTATAAATTAATATAATCAGACATTTATAAAGGTCTAATATCCCTAGAAAAAAATGAGTTAAATATTTTTGAATGACTATCTCATTTTGTATCAACAGTAATATTTTTTTTACCCAAAATGTCATGAAGCTATAAAGTATTTATACAAATGCTACAGTTTCCTATCGAATTATTTCTTCAGAGAGACTAGTGGTTGTGTCCGATCTGTCCTATATTACTTCATTTTGTATTTTATTTTTTCCCCCTCAAGGTTGACAAAAAAAGGTGGGTATAAGTGAATATATGCATTGTGTAGTATAAAAAAATTTATAGCTCTACTCTAACAAAATTTCGAATACGATTTTAAAGCACGCGAATAGCGAGAGAAAACGACTATCCATCCGTTCAAGTATTTGTCTTGTCCACTTTCTGTCTTTCGTTCTCTCATTCGGCTGCTGTGCATTTGAGAGTAGGAAGGAGCGGGGTGGTCACCACGATTAAAATTCATCAATGGCTCAGATTATAGTGTGGTTCTGAAAATGGACTCGGACGCATATCAATCGTGGGCCCGCTACGCGCCACAGACACAAGACGAGTCGCTAATGAGAGCGACAATTCAGTGTTCGTCGGGTAGAACCGCGTGTGGAATGCAGCCTGGCTCCACAAGCTTTTTAAATTTATTCCGACGACCTTCTGCTATCGTTTCATTCTTCGCTATGACCAAAATGCTCTTCAAGATACGCTGTATGTCACTCATTTGAAAACTTTTTAACTGTTGAACAAATTTATTTTGCTCGTAAAGTTCATTAAATATATTTCAATCAAATTCATTTTTACTTGCCTTATTTTATTTATAATATAATTAAATAAATAAACTTTATCTACTTGAAGTATTTTTAGTTGAAAATTTTTATTGCACTACT